GGCCAGCCTGGGCAACACAGTGAGACCCTGTCTCCACAACATTTGTGAGGGAGGGAACATAGTTGAGTGTGGTGGCGTGTCCCCATCGTGCTAGCTACTCAGGAGGCTGAGGTGGGAGGGTTGCTTGGGCCCAGGAATTCAAGGTTGTGCCACTGTGCTGCAGCCTGGGCAACACAGCAAGACCCCTCTCTTAAAATAAATTCTAAAGCTATTCAGTGTCTTCAGTCTCTTTTAATTTTTCTCAAACATCCAGAGTTTCTGAAACTCAGGCAGTTTGCTCTCGAACGACTCAGTCATTTGCTGTGCCTTGTTTTCCTCACTGCACAGGTGGCACTGTCACCGTGATTTGCCTTAGGGTTGGTCACTGCCACAGTGAGTTCAGCGTCACTCATGCTCACAGTTCCCTTGCTTCAGTATCTCCTTTTGTGTCTCAAACTTTCCTTCTGGGATTATTTTCCATCTTTAGATTCCTTCTGCTTTTCTAACGGTCCTTTACTGAGATGTGTTTATGGTAAACCGTGTTGGTTTTTCTTTGTCTGGACGTAATCTGTATTTTCCTCTTATTCTTAAAAGATAGTTTTGCTGATAACATCAAGTCCAAGTTGACACTATTTTCCCCAAGTGCTTTGAGCTATTACTTGTGCCTCCTGGCATCCAGTGTCATAAGGAAGTTGGCTCTCAGCCTTGTTGTTTTTTTTTTTTGTTTGTTTTGTTTTATAGAATTTTGCTCTTGTTGCCGAGGCTGAAGTGCAATGGCACAATCTCAGCTCCCTGCAACCTCTGAACTCCTGGGTTCAAGGGATTCTCCTGCCTCAGCCTCCTGAGCAGCTGGATTACCGGCGTGTGCCACCATGCCCAGCTAATCTTTGTATTTTGAGTAGAGATGGGGTTTCTCATGTTGCCCAGGCTGGTCTTGAACTCCTGACCTCAGGTGATCCACCCACCTCAGCCTCCCAAAGTGCTGGATTACAGGCGTGAGCGGCCTTGCTCGGCCACTGCTGCTCTTTTTTGGGTGGTCTGCCTTTCTCTCCTGAGACTCAGCACCTTCTTTGTTTTTCTGAAGTTTCACCATTACTCTCCAAAGTGGGTTTCTTGTGATTTCTCCTGTTGGGATTCACTGGGCCTTCTGAATGTGAGGATTTATGTCTGGAAAATCCTCACCTGACATCTCCTTGAATGTGACCTCTCCTGCACTCTTTATTCTCTCTTTCTAGAATATTCATTGCATAAACATGAAGCCTGTTCGTTCTCTCTTCTGTGTCCTTTTATGTTTCTTTCATTTTCTATCTCTTTAGCTTTCTGTGAAACATTATCGGATTTATGATTCTGTCTCTGAATTATCTTTAAGTGTGTTGAATTTGCTATTCAGTATTATGTTTCTAATTTCAGTGGTCATATTTTAACTTGTTTCATTTTTGGCAACATCGTGTTCCTCTGTCAGTCTGGGACCATAATTAGCCATCATCACTTCATACTGTGCCTTGGACGAGCCCTCTGTTCGCAGTGTCATGAGTGATTGTACACTTCGTTGTTTCTGCTGACTCTTGCCCATGGTGCCTGCTTCCTGCTGCGTGTGGTGCCTCTGTGTTGCGAAGTCACGTTCGTATGGGTGGGACGCTCAGGGGTCTGAGGGTGGATCCCTGCGGAGGCTTTGTGTTTGCCTTTGCCAGGACCCGAGCAGCCCACTTGAAAGTGTATTTTGTGGGTGTAGATGCTTTGAACCTTGAACCCACTTGAGAATGGCCTGTGGTAGAAATTCTCAGAGACTTTTTCTCTTATTTGCTCCTCTTTTCAGAGCGGGGGCTCATGCAGCAAATGTCTCTGTCACTTCCCTGTGACCGGCGGGTGTCCCTGGCTCACTCTTGAGGGCCCCTCTTTTGGGCTCCTGGCTTCCTGCAGGGCTTCTGCTCTGACTTTCTGTCTCACACAGCCCCAGGCTCCATCCTGCAGCTGGTCAGTGTAGTGTTCGGGATCCTGGCCAGCAGGGACCAATAGGACCTCTACAAACGGTGCGAAGCCCTGCCGTGCCGGGCTGGATTTACGCTTCTCCATGGTCTCAGCCTTTTGGGATTCCACTTACCTTCTCCCCAGAAAGATTTTGAAATGTGATGTTCTGGGGCATTTCCAGGTCTTAGATGCTCTCTGCTGGGAGGCCTCCCCCGCCCCTGCCCCGCCCCGCCGACTTCTGCTGTGTTCTGGAAGGGGTGTCCCTGGCCCGCCTCCACAGGATTGGAGAACTGCATTGCAGTCGGCATTTGAAGGACTTCACCCGGTGGCCCGGCTCCTGTTCAGCTTCTTTCTGTGCTCTGCAGCCTCCACTGTGTGACCCCTGCCTGCTGCCTGCATGCGGAGTGTCACTTGTTCTGCAGTTTTCTCTGATGCAGTCTCACTGTCTCTGTGGCCACTTGTGTGCTGGTTTATTCATCCTCAACATTCCCTGAGGAGATGGGCCTGGGAGGGCAGCAGCAGGCCCCACCCACATGCAGACCCCAAGGCCAGCCTGGTGCTGACCACGTGGTGGCCAAGGAGACTGTGGCATCTGCCTGCTGGTGCAGGTGGCATGTGCCTGCTCTCCTGAGGGGGGTTCTCTGCAGACTCTCACATGCCTTCTCAGGGGTCAGCAAGCACATGTGTTCCTGCAGGCCTTTCTAAAAAGTGACAGGTGGGGACGTGTTGGCAGTGGTGGAGGCGGAGGGGGTCGATGGCTTGGCAGCCTCCCTCGGGCCCAAAGCTGCGCACTCTTCGCACCACTCACATGCTGGGAGGACAGCGAGCCGAGGGGCATGAAACAGTTCTGGCACCTCCTGGGAAGACCTTTCGATAGGAGCGAGAGGCTCCGTGCGTCACGGGCCTGCCAGAGTGAGCCAGTGTGGCCACGAGGACTGGATGGGCCTGGAACAGATGGTCCCCGCAGAAAGGCACGGTGCCACAGCTCCCCCAGAATGTGTGCCCCTCTGCTCGCTCTCGTGGTTCCCACTTGTTGGGGCGGGCTGGGTCACTGAATTCCCAGGTCCGTTTCGGCTGCCCCATCCCTCCCGGAAGACTCCACTGCTACAGAGGGTGGAGTATGGGGAGGAGATTGCCCTAGCAGCAGGGGCCCTGGAAACATCTCCCTTTGTCATCTTTGGGGTCCCCTCTGTACCTGCCATGGCCTCCCTCACACTCCTCTGTGTGGAACCAGGCTCTGCCTCACAGGTGCCTGGTTTTCACACTGTGGGCTGGGAGGCCGGGCGGGCTGGGGTTTGCCCTCCCATCTCGAGGAGCAGGACAGCAAAGGTGCCCTGAGCTGACTCAGCCCTGCCTGGGAGCAGGTGCCTCTCCTTGAGGTGGACGAGGTGTGTGCAGTGGGGGATGGTGTCAGGCTGAAGTGTGTCCCCCAAAATTCATATGTTGATGCCCTAACCCCTAGAACCTCCAAGTGCGACTTAGGTCTTCAAAGGAGACAGGGTCTTACAAGAGGTGTGGAGTTAAAAGGTCATGGGATGCACCTTCAGTACGTCAGTTGCAGTGCTTAGAACACCTTCAGAGACTGAGAGGTAAAGGTCAGCGGGGTGGTTGGGACCGGGTCTGCCTGGTATCCTTGTAAGAGGAGGGGATGAGGACACAGACACACAGAGTGCTGGCCCTGTGAGGACACAGGGAGGAGACGGTGTCTGGGAGCCAAGGAGTGTCTCAGGGACCAGCCCTGCCCTCCCTGACCTTGGACTCAGCGTCCAGGACTGTGGAGAATCTAGGAATCCATGTGGGTGCTGAAGCCCCAGGCTGTGGTGTTTTCTCACAGCCGCCCCCGGTGACTCACGGTGGATTTGTCCTCCGGAGTCCCCAATGACTCTGCGCCCTGGGGCCCTGTCTTGGTTCTGTGGCTGAGCACACCTGCTCCCTGCCCTTCCAGGCTCCTGCCCTGCCTGTGCCGACCTCCTGGCTGGGGCTGGAGACTCGCAAGTGAGAAGTGGGTGCCCCTGCCAGGAGCAGGGCATGCACATCTGAAAACGTGAGGGTGCTGGCTTAGGCTGCCGCTGGAAGTGGGTCTGGGGAGGATCCACTCGAGGCTCAAATCCCCCGGGAGGCGGTGGGCGCCGAGGTCCCAGCGGACTGGAGCAGTTCCTGCTTCTCGTTTTTATAACCCGAGGTGTCCCAGTTAGCAGATGCTTCGGAACAAATCACCCTCAAACTTAATGGCGTAAACAACGACTCATTTCATTGTCTTCCCAGTTCCTCTGGGTCAGGATTCCAGGCGGGCTGGGCTCAGGGCTCTACTTGGAAAATACGCTTTATGGGCCCCGCTACCCCCTGCTGTGGTGGGGGCCCTGGAAGCATCCCCAGTTTGGTGGAGAACGTTGAGGTGAGTGCTGGAGGGTGCTCACCACTGCTGGGCCCCTCTGTGCCTGCCGTGCTGGGCCAAGCAGGACCCCCAAACCCACATGGCCCTTTGTCTTGCCTCATGCACCCCACACATCTTCCTCCCTCCCCAAAACATCCGGTGAAGATTGATTGCAGCGTCCTGGGCCCACAGTGCTTGAGGCTGCTTCAGTCTGTGGCGGTGTCCCCAGAACGCACGTGTTGAACCCCTGCACCCCCGCGTGCTGCCGTTAGGAGGCAGGGCCTGTGCCAGGTGAGTGATGTGCACGAGGCTGGAGCCCCATGAATGGCTTTCCCAGTGGTCAGCACGGACGCGGAGCCAGGGAGTTGAGACCCGGCACCAAACACTGTGAGCGGAAGGCTGAGTACGGGGCAAAGCACAGTTTGAGGACGTGCCTTTCTCAGCCATGCTGCGGGAAGACCTGCTGCTGCTCAGGAGAAGAGATACGGACGAAGGAAGTCAGGGAAGGGTGAACAGAGGCAGGAGGGCCGGGGAAGCCGGCGGCCCTGGAGGGAGGGGCAGGCAGAGCCACCTGGCAGGTGCAGAGGGAGCCCCAGGAGCTCGGGAGGGGGGGGGCCTGTCAGGACTCAGGTGGGCTCGGGCGGGGCTCGGTGAGTCTCGGGTGGGGTCGGGCGGGGCTCCGGCCGATCGGCCCTTCCTTGTGCTACCTGTGTTCTTCCCTGTGTGCAGGAGAGAGAGGGAGAAAGAAAGGGAGACACAGAGACGGAAACACAGAGGAAGACCCAGGTCTCCTCCCGCCCCTTGCTCCTCGACGCGGCCATTCCACAGCCCGCGCCCTCCTGACGCGTCCCTCACGGAGGGCCTCTGGGGCGTTTCGTTGGCATCGCTGTGGACGCTGGGCCCACCTTCCTCGGCTGGGGATGGAGGACGGCACCCCGGGCAGTGAGAGGCCCTCTTGCCTTTGCGGAGCCTGAGGACCGACTCGCCGTGCTGGCCGCCTCTGTTCCTCTCTGCCAGGCTTTGGAGATGCCAGCCTAGCCGACAAAAGCGCTCCCGTTTCCAGAGAAACATAACAGGTCACCCAGAACCACACCAAACATTTAGGACACTTGGCATCAAACCAAGGGTTTCTCTCGGATCCTGGGAGACTCAGAGGCCAAGAGGTTAGGAGGGTCTGGGGGCCTGGCCAAGTGCGCGGAAGCCTGATGGCGCATGCTTCTTGGAAAGTTCCACCCTCACGTGCCCTTCTGACATTAACCCAGGCCCCAGGTCTGGGAGAAGAATGGCCGCGTGGCCTTGTGGCCAGCAAAAGCAGGACCAAGTCCTCCTGCCGCAGGGCACCCCAGCATCTGCTCCCTTTGCGTGTAGGAAGAGACAGACGTGTGCTGGAGGTTCTCACCCCAAAGCACGGGGACCAGCAGAGCCTCGGCTATGGCAGCTGCAGGGAGACTCAGGAGTGAGGGGCTCCCTCCTGCAGGATAGTGTGTCGGCCGCTGTGGTGTTAACTCTATCTGCAGAAGAGACGCTCACGGGCCATCCTCTCACTTCGACTTTCTCACTTCCAACTTTGAGGCCGTGGGAGCTGCACCCTCTCCTCGTGCTCAGCCTCTCAGTGAGCCACTCCCTTCTTAGGACTCTGTAGACTGTCCATCTTATTCTTTTCCCAGCGATCATTGTCATCCAGCACCTTCCTTCCTCTACCTGATGATGAGATACCTCGTGCCCGTCCAAATGCAACATACCGGTTCCTAAAACCTGGAGTTGGTTTACTAAAACCCCTGTATCCAGCACAGAACTTCGTGGTTCCTGGATGATCCTGTGACAGGTGAGGAAGAGGGGTCCCGTGGGACCCGCTGTTCCTACCCTTTGGGACGGGGCTGGGGCATCCCTGCGGGCCATGGCTACTGAGCAGAACTGCTCTAACCAGGGCCTGTCTTCTGGCGAAAGGTCAAAGCGCACATACTCCCACCCACAGCCACTGTGCCTTCAGGTTGTTCTTGAGTTTGGTGTGCTTTGGAAATGAGACTTTTTGATCTCTGGAAGGAACCAAATTAAAATAATACTTTTGTCAGTAGTTTATTAAATTCAATTTGGCTTCCCTCTGCTTTGGCCATAATAAAAACTTGTGGGTATTCAAAACCTGGAGTCTGACGAGGCTGATGAAGAAAAACTTGTTGATTCCACAGTAAAAGCCATTGCCTCGACTTTCACTAAGACTACAAACCTTATAGCTAACATTGCTTATTTTCCAAAAAAAGGATGTAAATGATGTTAAAGACACTCTGTCCCAAGCACCCATGAGCCGGCGTTACCAGAATTTATGAAAACCCCTCACGAGGACACATCAGGCGACTCATCGGGCAACTAATGAACTTACACGTCTACAAAACGGTATTGACGGAGAAACGTTCAAGGGCGGCCAAAGGCACAGCTGACTCGTGCTTTGTCCAAAATTCAGCCCAGAAGAGACAATTCAGACAGTCCCAGGCCATTCTGACCTGCCAAGTGGACCCTCTGAGGTTTGGCAAATGGACTTCATCCAGCCACTGCCTCTCGGGGCCATAAATACGTCGTGATGATCTGCATGTTTTCCTACTGGGTAGAAGCATTCCCCTTCGGACGTGCCACCGCCTCAGACGCTGCAACCTCTGTTAGAACAGATTCTCCCTAGGGGCAGGAGCATATCTTCACAGGTAGTGACCAAGGCTCCCCTGGCCAGGTCAGAAATCTGTGAAGTCTGGTCCACGTGACAGCAGTTTCGTTGTGCCCACCACCCCAATCTTGCAACTGCTGGAAAGCGCAGGCAGCACCATCAAGATTCAACTGGCAGAATTTCAGGAAGCACTAAAATGGCCCAGGCTGAAGGCACTGGCTGTGGATCTCCACCTTTTGGAAAACGCAAGTTGTCACCTTTTGAAATTATCCCCGGGGTGGCGGGGCCAGACAATGCATATCATCCTTTCTGCTTTTAATAGTCAACTGATTAAAGGAGACATTCTCCAATACTGCAAAGGAATAATTAGGACTATACACATAAGTCATGCCCTGTGCTCCCAGGAGATGGAGTCACCAGATGTCACAACCTTCAGCCTGATAATTTCATTGGAAAAGACATTTACAAAAAGATTTCCTTCAACCTCTGGAAAAGTCCACGTTGGGAACTCCTCACCAATCCCTGGTGTTGACCCTTGGATTCAGGTTTCTCATTTAAAGAAATCTACCTGCTGCTGGAATTCAATCAGACTTGAAATGAGAACTGGCCCGAAGGGGAAGCAGGTGGCAGAGGAGGTTGACTGAGGTCATGTCTGCCACGAGGGATGTGACTCCCTGGGACAAGTCCATCCCAGCAACAATGGACAGCATCAGATTTACTGATTGATCTATGACACTTTTTGGAGGAAGGACTCGATCAAAACGGGGACATGTGAAAGAAAATGAAACCAGTAAGTCTAAGGCTTTTCTAAAGTGGAGCTGGGCAGCCGTGGGATCTGCACTCAATCTGCCAACCGCCAGTCCACAGGACGTGCTCACACACTTGGACAAACAGCTGAGGCCAGCACCAATGGCCTTCACATCCCCCAGCTGGGAGTGCCCAGAAGAACTAGCCAGTCAGAATGGGTTTGACTTAGGATTTCTGCCCAACCAATGAACAGCCTCCAAAAAGCCTCTGTGGAAATCCCCTATACAAATCTCTCCAGGCCGCGTGTAGTGGCTCACACCTGAAATCCCAGCACTTTGGGAGGCCAAGGTGAGTGGATCACTCGAGGCCAGCAGTTCAAGACCAGGTTGGCCAACATGGTGAAACCCCGTCTCTACTAAAAATACAAAAATTAGCCAGGCATGGTGCCATGTGCCTGTAATCCCAGCTACTCAGGAAGCCGAGGCAGGAGAATCGCTTGAACCCACAAGGTGGAGGTTGCAATGAGCCAAGATCTCACCACTGCACTCCAGCCTGGGCAACAGAGACTCCATCTCAAAAAAAAAAAAACAAACAAAAAAAAAAACCCCAAAAACCTCTCCAGTGTTTGCCTTACAGGACACTGCCCAGGGCTACCCTGACTCAGTGTACCCAAACTGCAACCCTTTGTTTCCCAAATAAATGCTTTAGTTAATGGTATTAAAAATGAACACTGAAAAAGCAGATTCAAAACATTCAAATGGAACTCAATGTGTTAGTATAATCACAGCTGCTTACTGAAAACAAACACTTAAAATTGCTCAACCCAGGAGGTTGTGCAGAAAACAGGTGACGGGTGAGCCACTGGGCCCAGCCCACCGTACAGCGGCCCTCTGTCCTTGTGTGCCCTCACACACAGCGAACACCTGGTCGTGCCTGTGCAAGCTGGCCGGTGTTGCCTGACTGCACCGGAGTGAAACGGCCAGGCTGCTGCTGCCCACACACATTTAAAATGAAACGTGTATCAAGGGAGCACGGTTGGGCTGTTTTTAAACACTCTGGAACCATGGCTCGGAGCTGGCAGAGCAGGCTGTGGCCGTGACGTCAGCACAACCAGCAGTGCTCAGGACACGAGATTGACATCCATTCCAAGCTGCAAATTCATCTTTTTTTTCCTGCAACAAAAAGACCATTAGCTTAAAAAACGGAGTGGGTTCCATCATCCCTACAGCAGCTAAAACCCCTCGGAGTCCACCTGGACTCCCAGCCCCAACTTCCTGTCCACACCCAGCAACTCCTTCCAGAAAATACTGCTGGCACTCTGGGCCTCTTGTTAAATTAAATTTGGCCTAAAGCTGCCCCATTCTTTGAATTTCTACCTAGTGAACTGCAACCTAAGCATGCAAACAAACTCAACCTAATGAGTCTTCGTGTAACAAGTAGCTGAGTCTCAGCCAATCGCAAGCTGCCAGTGGAACAGACCACACCCACATGTGGCAGGTGATCAGCTTTAGCCAATCAGGCTGTTCGTTGCCTCACCACCATGTTTTGTCTGTGAGTGCTGCCTGCCCATGTTGCTGAGTGGAGCTCACTGAATCTCTTCAGGTTCCGAGTGCTGCCCAATTCATGAACTGTTCTTTGTTCAAATAAACCCTAAAGTTTAAAAAAAAAAATTGGTTTGAGACAGAGTCTCACACTGTTGCCCAGGCTGGAATACAGTGGCACAGTCTCAGCTCATGGCAGCCTCTGCCTCCCAGGTTCAAGTGATTGCCCTGCCTCAGTCTCCGGAGCTGGGATTAGACGTGTACCACCAGGCCCGCTAGGCTCATTTTTCTATTTTTTAAGTAGAGATGAGGTTTCACCATGTGACTGGGGTGCTCTCAAACTCCTGACCTAAAGTAATTGACCACCCCTGCTTCCCAAAGTGCTGGGATTACAGGCGTGAGCCACTTGTGTCCAGACCAAAGTTTTCTTTCCACACTCATGACCACTGTCTTTGACACACAAGGGCCTCCTCACCAGCCTCTGGCTTCCAGGCTGTTCTCTGCACAGTGGCCACAGCATGCCCTGCTCAGGACCCACAGTGGACCTCCTGCCCACACACCTCCTGATGCACCTCTGGCCCAGCAGCTCCATCTGTCACACCAGCTTCCTTTCGCCTTGGCCGTGTGTGCCCCAGGGCCTCTGCACTCAGTTCCCGGTGTTGCAGGCTACAGCCCCTCCCTTTCCCGAGCCCCTCCCAACCTCCCACCTCCTCCAGGCTGCTTTCTCCACTATAGTCATGCAGCATTTGCCAGTGCCCAGCACACAATCTTCTCACTGGCTGGTCTTTTCACACCACAAAGGCCATACTGCCATCTATGTGCCTAAAACGCTGGCAGTTTTCAAACATTTTACAGCTGTGGGATTCTTTCCCTAAAGAGGCCTCCCGGCAGGTTAATGGACAGAAGAGGGCTGGCTGCTGTTGGTGATGAGCCTTGCAGGGCCCCTTGAGCAGACCCCGGCCACACTGGGGACCCAGGGGTTCTGGCAGAAGGAGTGTCCTGACATAGATGCCACAGCACTCAGGCCAGCAGGAGTGCACCTATCCTGCTCCCCCACGCCTAGTCGCCATCTGTGTTCTGGGAAATCTGAAAGGATTCTTTCATCTTCTGCTGGGTGGCAGGAAAGGAATCTACACTCCACAGCTACCAACTATGATAAAGCAGTTTATTTTTCTTAAAAAGGAAGGTACATGGTCACAGTCCAAAATGTTTTATACAGCTCTCAGCCTGAAGAAAATTCAACTGATGAAAAAGGCACTGTTTCTAGAACAAATGGAAAAACAATAAATACGTCACCACAGAACCCTGCCACAAGTTCAGGGTCAACGTTAAAAGCTTGAGAAGCAGACACAGCAAGGTGATGTCCTAGACTAGCCAGAGCCGTCTGTCCCTCCTCACTGTCCTCCCTGTCACACACGTCTGTCGCTGTTCCTCAGCCCCCACCAGCCTGATGGAGGGTCACACAACACCATGGTGGGAAGGTTACAAAGGGCAATGGGCCAAGGGGGTGAGGGGGGCCCCCTGACCCTGAGGACTCCCGAGGCACTGCTGCTCCTCCCTCCTTTCTGTGTCCAGTGCTGCCCTCTTTGCAAGTGCCCCTTGTGGTTGTAGCATGAAGACCTAGAAGTGATTTCTGTAAAATGGGTACAAGGAGTTCCCCGATAAGGGCTCATCCTAGACGGCCTTCTGGAGTCAGTGTGACCATCCTTTCTCATCTCTAATTCTCAAGAGTCCAGAGGCCCCACGTGCACCTGCCAGCCAGGGTGAGGGTGGGTGGCTGGGTGAGTAGGGCGGAGCTATAATTTCCTACAGACAGTCCACTGAGTGTCTGCCCCAAGGCATCACTGAAGAAATCCCACGCTGACGTGCAGACGGTGGGGCCTGAACTGTCATCACTCCACGGGGCTCCTTGAGGCCTCAGGCCCCTCCCTGTGCAGCACCAGGTCTGCCTTTCACCCATCCCAGGAGAAAACGCACTCGCAGGCAGCCTCCTGCTGCACAGAAGGCACGGGGGCTTCCTAAGGCCCCTGGCCGCTCCCAAAGAATTTAAAATGACGCTGCTCCTTGCACCGGCTCCCAAGAATATGTCAGCCCCATGTGCACCCAATGGAGGCAGCTCACCTGCCAGCATCTCTCCTCAACTCCCTTAAAATATGAAGACTAGAAAGGCCCCGAGCTGGAGCCTGACACTCCCTGCTTCTGGACCACCACACAACTGGGCTGTGGGTTCAGACACCGCCTGCAAACACAACCACCGCCCTGAGGGCAGCGGAGCCTCTTCCCAAGCTGACGGCGGCCAGGAACGCTGGGGACAGAACGCGACTCTAGATGCGTCATACCCCAAGGGTGGGGCCTCTGCTGGGCCTGGGGCCCTGCGAGGGACAGTCGTGTCCACCCAGCTCCTGGCTGGGCAGTAGAGGCTGACTCTGCGATGGCAGAACATCCACCAGCGTCGGCCGGCCAGGAGGGGCGCCGTCTCAGTAGGTGATCTTCCAGTGGGTGGGCTGCTCACACGCCTTCTCTTGGTCTCCGCAGAATCTGTTGTACGTCGTCCTGGGGTCCAACCCCAGGATTTCTCTTTCCTCGTGAATCCGGAAAGAAAATGTTGAGACTGAGGTGCCGATAAAAAACCTGCGAAGGATCAGAGGTTCCCGAGTTACACAGAACTGAGAGAAGCAGGTGAGCAACATGAGTTCGGGTTCCACGGAACCAACACGGCCACACCCCAAGCGACCGCACAGGGCAGCCGCCCGCCCCACAACGGAGCAACTGCACGCGCCAGCCGCCCGCCCCACAACGGAGCAACCGCACGCACCAGCCGCCCGCCCCCCAACTCAGCAACCGCACGCACCAGCCGGCCGCCCCCCAACGGAGCAACCGCACGCGCCAGCCGCCCGCCCCCCAACGCAGCAACCGCACGCACCAGCCGGCCGACCCCCAAGGAACGGCATACACCAGCCGGCCACCCCCCCTGCTGGCACACCTCACTCGGGGCCTCAACATCTGCGCCCTGAGGGGCTCTGCCTGGTGCTGCAGCCCCCTCCCCTGCTGCCTCACGGTCGCGGCCGCCACGCTCTCGTCCTGCCACACGCCCCCTGGGAGCCGTCCTCTTGTCACCAAATGCCAGGCCTGCACACGGTGCAGGTTGAATGTCTCCTGGAGATTCCCACTAATCGACACACTGTGTAGCCAAGGCACGGGTGTCCTTATCCCGAGGCACAGCAGAAATCACGGAGGTCCAGGCCCCTCTACGTACAGGCTGCATGGGCTGCTGGGGACACCCTGCTCCAGGGGTCCTCCTGACCTCCGGGTCAGCGGCCTGCCCATTCATTCCTCTGGATCCCCTCTCCAACAGCACTTTATCAACAAGCAATCCTCAGAGACGTTTCCTCAGCAGACATGAGGTGCACACCGCTGTACACGGGGCCACGGGGCCAGAGGGCTGCACAGGCCTGGCTGCTGCTGTGTGGGGGACGGCATTGGTGGGGAGACCTCACCACCCCATGCAGAGGGGCTGCCAGAGTGGGCGGCGCTGGTCTGGAGGTGGAGAACCTCCAAGTCAGCGGGCCGCACACCTCCTGCAGCTGAGGGGAGGGGGCTGAGAGTTTGGTGTGACACCTCCCCACAGCAGACCTCCTGGGCTGAGGAGACAGCACGGCCAAGCTCACAGTCAGAATCCCAAGGCCACAACTGAGACTTGGGCGAGCTCGACACCAGCTCCTGCACACCGCCCGGACCACAGAAGCAGGGCATCCTGTCTGCTTCACACAGAGAGGACCTGACTCCGCCGCAGAGCCACTGTGGGTCTCACATGCAACACCCAGAACACAGAGGCAACGCCAGACACGTGGAGACACTGGCACAGGGGAGAGGCAGAACCCACACAGACCACGCACATGCAAGGGAGAGGCAGAACCCACACAGACCACGCACACGCAGGGGAGAGGGAGGTGAACCCACAGAGACCACGGACACGCAGGGGAGAGGGAGGTGACCCCACAGAGACCACGGACACGCAGGGGAGAGGGAGGTGACCCCACAGAGACCACGGACACGCAGGGGAGAGGGAGGTGAACCCACAGAGACCACGCACACACAGGGGAGAGGGAGAACCCACAAAGACCACACACACACAGGGGAGAGGGAGGTGAACCCACACAGACCACAGACATGCAGGGGAGAGGGAGGTGACCCCACACAGACCACGCACACGCAGGGGAGAGGGAGGTGAACCCACAGAGACCACGCACACACAGGGGAGAGGGAGAACCCACACAGACCACGCACACACAGGGGAGAGGGAGGTGAACCCACGCAGACCACGCACACGCAGGGGAGAGGGAGGTGAACCCACAGAGACCACGCACACACAGGGGAGAGGGAGAACCCACACAGACCACACACACACAGGGGAGAGGGAGGTGAACCCACACAGACCACAGACATGCAGGGGAGAGGGAGGTGACCCCACACAGACCACGCACACACAGGGGAGAGGGAGGTGAACCCACGCAGACCACGCACACGCAGGGGAGAGGGAGGTGAACCCACGCAGACCACGCACACGCAGGGGAGAGGGAGGTGAACCCACGCAGACCACGCACACGCAGGGGAGAGGGAGGTGAACCCACGCAGACCACGCACATGCAGGGGAGAGGGAGGTGAACCCACACAGACCATGCACACGCACAGGACCACGGGGATTACAAAGCTCTGTGACCGCAGGGAGGACTGTTCCCTCTCCTTTCGTTTTCCATTTCACTCTAAATGTTTCGTCGTAATCCCAACCTTGGTCTCCTGTGCAGACTGGCAGACAGCCCTTTGGAGGAAGAGGCCCAGGCCCCCTCCCGCAGCAACCCCATGAGAATGATCACAGGAGGGCCTGCGCTTCCAGCCTTGAGGACACTCGGGACGCCCTTCAACACACACAGCACCAAGGATGCGTCCCAAGCCCACGGCCTGGGCAGGGGGCAGACAAGAGCAGAAACTGGGAATGACAGGAAAACGAGAGCCAAGACGAGGCTCTGAGACGAAGCCATACCGACAGCCTGCTACGGAGGAAGATGAGCAGTGAACTTCAGCCCAGGAGGCCTGGAGTCAGGCGTTCCAGGAGACGCAGGCGAGGAGGCAAACAGTACGGAAGTGACCACTGTGCACACACAGGCCCGTCCCTTTTGAGAGCCCCAAACGCGCTCCTGGCCGACAGTGCTAAGCGGGCAGGCACCTGGCATGTGAGCAGATCCACTGATCAATGATCGCGACACCTCCGTCCTTGTAGAGCTCCAGCTCCTCCCACGTGGGTTCAAACCTCACCATCTCGGGTAACAGCTTTTTTAGCTCTTCGTATTCTGCAAAGTAGAAGAAGAGACCCTTTGAACTGGGACCCTCCAGTAGGCACAGACAGGTATCTCTTCAGCGGAAAGACTTGGCCTCTTGTTAATTCGTTACGAACTGGCTCAAAAGGTGCAGGCGCACATTCAGCTTTCCCCTCCAGGAATCACAGCTGACGATCATGCAGGCCTAGGTCTACCCAGAACCGAACCAGGGATCAAAAAGCCACGGAAGGCATTAAAGCTCCATACCCCTCCTGACGGCATCTGTGGCCACAAACACCTTGTCCAGCTGCTGAGTCTTCATGAGGCTGCGGATCTTCCTCACGGCCCCTTCTAGACTGGGCACATCTTCTCTGTGACCCCAGATAAAATCTTTTCTTCTCAGGTGGACTCCCAGGTAGGGTCCCCCTAGCGCCGAGCCCAGCGTGACCTAGCGAAGAACCACATGGAAATGCAGAAACTGACAGGCAGATTTGAGGCTCATCATGGGCACCCTGATGAGACTCAAGACACAGAGCGACGGCTGCTTCCACATGGCCGCCTCCACAGGGTGGCCTCCAGGGCTGTCTAAGGGATTTGGGTGGAATCTCAGGGGCAACCAGATGGCTTTTTAAGAAGCAGTATTAATTACCGCAGATCCTTTTTTGAGTTAAATAAAAGTGTTTAAAAAGAGAACAGCATGTGGTGACTCACGCCATGAACTTCTGCTCCAAGAACCACCACAGGAATGTGCCAGAGGCCGAACTAATTCACGGACCCTGCAGATGAAGCAGCTCACAGCTGCAAACTCCCGCAGAACCAGAGCCCTCCGCTGCTCTCCTGAAAGCGCCACCAACGTGAGCCGTTACAGCAAATCTTAACTCAACAACCCCGCTCCAAGGAAGGCGAAAAAGCAGCTAATTCCACCACCTGCAACATCCTGGCTGATCAGAGGGCCCGGGTCTGTCCACGTGACAACTTCGCTGTAGTATAACCAGCATTTGAGAAAACCAGTGCACTAAAAAGACTACAACCAAGGACCCCCCAGAGTCCACTTCACTCCCCTGCCACCTCCACCAAAGCAGTTGCTATATCCACGGTTGGGAGACCCGAAGATGGATCATATCACAGGGCTCTACAGACATTCCCCAGCGCCATCCCAGGACCCGGTGGCCCACTGGGTGGCCAGACCCAGAAGAGCAGTAACAATCACTGCAGCCCAGCTCTGAGGAAGCCCCATCCCTAGGGGAAGGGGAAGAGCACCACACAGCACCCTGTGGGACAAAAGAATCTGAACAGCAGCACTGGAGTTCCGGATCTTTCCACTGAAATAGTCTACCCAAATGAGGAGGCAGAAAAGCAACTGTGAATATGACAAAACAGGGTTCAATGGCACCCTCATAAGATCACAGTAGCTCCCCAGCAATGGATCCAAACCAAGAAGAAATCTTTGAATTGCCAGATGAAGAATCCAGAAGGCTGATTATTAAGCTACTCAAGTAGGCACCGACAAAAGTAAAAAACAACTTAAATGAAAAAAAATCGAATACAGATGAAAAACTCTCCAGAGAAATAGATATCATTAAGAAAAAAACAATTGCAACTTCTGGAAATGAAAGTCACTCTCAAAGAAACAAAATACACTGCAAAGTTTCAACAACAGAAGAAAGAACTGCAGGGCTCGAAGGCACGGTTTTCAAACTAACCCAATCCAACAAACACAAAGAAAAAAGAGCAATTAAAGAAAAATGAACAAAGCCTCCAAGAAATCTGGGATCATGTTACACAAACAAACCCGAGGATAACTGGTGTTCCCAAGGAAGGAGAGGGATCCGAACGTCTGGAAAACTGATTTGAGGGAGTAATCGAGGAACACTTACCTGGTCTTGCTAGAGATCTAGACATCCAAATACAAGAAGCTCAAAGAACACCTGGGCAATTCATCACAAAAAGATCACCTATGCACACAGTCTTCAGGTTATCTAAAGTCAAGATGGAGGAAAAGTCTTAAAAGCTGTGAGCCAAAGTACCAGGTATCCTATAAAGGAAAGCCTATCAAATTAACAGCAGATTTCTCAGCAGAAACCCTACAAGCTACAAGGTACTGGGGTCCTAGCTTCAGCCTCCACAAACAAAATAATTATCAGCCAAGAATTTTGTATCCAGCAAAACTAAGCATAAATGAAAGAGAGATCATCTTTTTTAGACAAGCAAATGCTGAAAGAATTCACCACTACCAAGCCAGAACTAGAAGAAATGCTGAAAGAAGTTCTAAATCTTGCAACAAACCCTCAAAATATACCAAAATAGAACCTCCTTAAAGCATAAATCTCACAGGGTGTACAAAGCAATAATGCAATGCCAAAAAAAAAAAAAAAAAAAGGAAAAGGAAAAGCAAACAGGATATTCAGGCAGCAACTAGCATGATGAAGAGAACAGTACCTCACACTGTAATACCAAAGTTAAACGTAATACAACAGTACCTCACACTGTAATACCAAAGTTAAACGTAATACAACAGTACCTCAGACTGCAATACCAAAGTTAAACGTAATACAACAGTACCTCACGCTGTAATACCAAAGTTAAACGTAATACAACAGTACCTCACACTGTAATACCAAAGTTAAACGTAATACAACAGTACCTCAGACTGCAATACCAAAGTTAAACGTAATACAACAGTACCTCACGCTGTAATACCAAAGTTAAACGTAATACAACAGTACCTCACACTGTAATACCAAAGTTAAACGTAATACAACAGTACCTCAGACTGCAATACCAAAGCTGAATGTAAATGGCCTAAATGCTCCACTTAAAAGAAACAGAATGGGAGAATGGATAAAAATCCACCCAAAAGCTGTGAGACAAAAGTCTTCGAGAGACTAACTTAACATGTAAGGACTCACATAAACTTAAGGTAAAGGGGTGGAAAAATGCAAATGGAAACCAAAAGTGAGCAGAGTAGCTTACTCTTGTATCAGACAAAACAGACTTTAAAGAAACAGTTAAAAAGAGATGGAGGGACATTATCTAATGATAAAAGGGTTAGTCCAACAGGAAAGTATCACAATCCTAAATATATTTGCACCTAACACTGGAGCTACCAAATTCATAAAACAATTACGACTAGACCTAAGAAATGAGAGAGACGGCAACACAATAGCAGTGGGGACTTCAATACTCCACTGACAGCACCAGAGAGGCCATCCAAACAGAAAGTCAACAAAGAAACAAGGACCTCAACTATACCCTAGAACAGATGGATTGAACAGATAATTACAGAACATTCTACCCAACAACTGCAGAACATTCTGTTCATCAACACATGGAACATTCTCCAAGGTAAGTCATATGACTGGCCACAAAACAAATCTCAATAAATTTAAGAAAATCAAATTATGTCAAGTACCCTCTCAGGCCACAGTGGAATAAAACTGGAAATTAAATCCAAAAGGAACCCTTGAAACTATACAAATACATGGAAATTAAATAATCTGCTCCTGATCTTTGGGTCAACAATGAAATCAAGATGGAAATTTAAAAATTCTTTCAACTGAACTAGTGACACAATTACCAAAATCCCTGGGATGCAGCAAAAGTGGTGCCAAGAGGAAAATTCACAGCATTAAATGCCTACATCAAAAAAATCTGAAAGAGCACAAATAAACAATCTAAGATCACACCTCAAGGAACTAGAGAAATAAGAACAAACCAAACCCAAATCCAGCAGAAGAAAAGAAATAACCAAGATGAGAGCAGAACTAAATGAAACTACGATGAACAAACAAAAAAATACAAAAGTTAAATGAAACAGAAAGCTGGTTCTTTGAAAAGATAAACAAAATTGATAGACCATTATTGAGATTAACGAAGAAGAGAGAGAATCCAAATAAGCTCAATCAGAAACGAAACGGGATATATTGCAATCGCTACCTGAGAAACACAGATGATCATCCAGAGCTACTGTGAACACGTCTATGTGCAAAAACTGGAAAACCTGGAGGATAAATTCCTGGAAATACACAACCCTTCCAGATTAAACCAGGAAGAAACAAACTCTGAACAGACCAATAGCACGTTGTGAGAATGAAATAATTTAAAAACTGCCAACAAAAAAGCCCAGGACCCAATGGATTCACAGCTGAAATCTGTCAGACATTCAAAGAACTGGTGAAAGATCCTACTGAAAACTATTCCAAAGACAGAGAAAGAGGGAATCTCCCTTAAATCAATAGACCAATATCGCTGATGAACACAGATGCAAAAATCCTCAACAAAATACTAGCTAACCGAATCCAACAGCATATTGAAAAGATTACACACCATGATCCAAGTGGGTTTCATACCAGGGATGCAGGGATGGTTTAACATACACAAGTCAAAAAATGTGATCCACCACACAAACAGCACTAAAAACAAAAATCGTATCATTTCAATAGATGCAGAAGCAGCATTTGACAAAATCCAGCATCACTTTATGATTAAAATCCTCAGCAAAGGTGGCGTAGAAGGAACATAACTCAAGGTCTTTGAAAAGACCTTGACTTTGAAAAGTCATCTATGACAAATCCAAAGCCAACATTATACTGAACAGGGAAAAGTGGAAAGCATTCCCCCTGAGAACTGGGGCAAGACAAGGTGCCCACTCTCACCACCTCTATTCAACACAGTACTGGAAGTCCTAGCCAGAGCAATCAGACAAGAGAACGAAATAAAGGGCATCCAAATTGGTAAAAAGTAGGTCAAACTGTCACTGTTCACTGATGATATAATAGTGTACCTAGAAAAACCCTAAAGACTCATGGAAAAAGCTCCCAGATCTCATAAATGAATTCAGTCAAGTTTCAAGACACAGAATCAGTGTATTCCAAAAGATGGAGAAAGTCGTAAGTCAGTAGCACTGCTATCCACCAACAGCGGCCAAGCTGAGAATCAAATCAAGACCTGCTTTTACAACAACTGCAAAACAAAAGCAAAACACCCCACAAAACTTCATCTCTACAAGGAAAATTAGAAAACACTGCTGAAAGAAATCATGGGGGACCTAAACTAATGGAAACACATCCCATGCTCATGGATGGGTAGAATCAATATTGTGAAAATGACCACACTGCAAAAGCAATCTATCAGTGCAATTCCCATCAAAATGCCATCATCATTCTTCACAGAACTAGAAAAAAAAATCCTAAAACTCATATGGAACCGAAAAAGAGCCTACATACCCAAAGCAAGACTGAACAAAAAGTACAAATCTGGAGGCATCACATTACCCAACTTCAGACTACCCTACAAGGCTACAGTTACCAAAACAGCACAGCCTTGCTATAAAACTAAGTAAGTAAACCAGTGGAGCAGAATAGAGAACCCAGAAATAAAGCCAAATACTTAGAGACAACTGATCTTTGACAAAGCAAACGAAAACATAAAGTGGGGAAAGGACACCCTATTTAACACATGGTGCTGGGATAACTGACAAGCCACATGTAGAATGAAACTGGATCTTCACCTCTCACCTTAAAAAAAATCAACTCAAGGTGGATCAAACACTTAAATCCAAGACGTGAAATCATAAAAATTCTAGAAGATAACATCGGAAAAACTCTTCTAGACACTGACTTAGGCAAATCATGACCAAGAGCCCAAAAGCAAACGCAACAAAAACAAAGATTAATAGGACATAATTAAACTAAAAAGCTTCTGCACAGCAAAAAAACAAATCGGCAGAGTGAACAGCCCCCAGAGTGGGAGAAAATACTCACAAACTTTGCATCCGACAAAGGACTAATATCTAGAATCTACAAGGAACTAAAACTAATCAGCAAGAAAAAAAACAAACAATCCCAATGAATAGACAGTTATCAAAAAAAGATACACAAATGGCCAACAAACATATGAAAACATGCTCAGCATCACCAATGGTCAGGAAAATGCAGATGAAACCACTGTACTCCTACAAGAACAGCCACATGTAAAAATCCAAAAATAGGCCCAGCGTGGTGGTTCACGTGTGTAATCCCAGCACTTTGAGAGGCTGAGGTGGCTGGATCACTTGAGGTTAGGAGTTCAAGACCAGCCTGGCTAACATAATTGAAACCCTGTTTCTACTAAAAATACAAAAAATTAGGTGGGCATGGTGGCAGGTGCCTGTAATCCCAGCTACTCGAGAGGCTGAGGCAGGAGAATCACCTGAACCCAGGATGCAGAGGTTGCAGAGAGCTGAGACTGTGCCACTGCACTGCAGTCTAGGCGACAAGAGCAAAATTCCATCTAAAAAAAAAAAATCCAAAAATAAAAGATGCTGGTGTGGATGTGCTGAAAGGGGACACTCTCACACTCGTAGTGGGCATGTAAACCAGTACAGCCACTATGGAAGGCAGTGTGGAGATTCCTTAAAGAACTCAAAGTAGAGCTACCATTGGACCCAGCAATCCCACTCCCAGGTGTGTACCCAGAGGAGAAGCTGCTATATGAAAAAGACGCGCACACACGTGTACAGCCGCTACATTCACAACCGCAGAGACACAGAAGCAGCCTAAATGTCCACCCACCACCGAGTAAAGAAAATGTGGTACACGGGCCGTAAGCAGGAATGAAATGAATGCATCTGCAGCAACCTGGATGGAGGCGGAGGCCACTGCTCTGAGTGCAGTCACTTAGGAACGGAGAACCAAACATCATGTGTGCTCACTCACACGCGGGAGCTAAGCCATGAGGACACAAAGGCCTAGGAATGACACAGCGGACTTTGGGGACCTGAGGGTAGAGTGGGAGGGGTGAGGGATAAAGCCTATACACTGGTTAGAATATACACTGCTCAGTGACAGGCACACCAAAATCTCAGCATCACCGCTAAAGAACTTATCCATGTAGCCAAACAAAACCTGTTCCCCAAGAACAACTGAGGTTTAAAAAATGATAAAATAAGCCGGGCACGGTGGCTCATGCCTGTAATCCCAGTGCTTTGGGAGGCTGAGGTGGGTGGATCACCTGAGGTCAGGAGTTCGAGACCAGCCTGGCCAACATGGCAAAACCCTGTCTGTCCTCAAAATACAAAAATTAGCTGGGCATGGTGGTGTGTGCCTGTAGTCCCAGCTGCTTGGGAGGCTGAGGCAGGAGAACTGCTTGAACCCAGGAGGTGGAGGTTACAGTGAGCTGAGATCACGTTACTGCACTCCAGCCTAGGTGACAGAGTGAGAATCTGTCTCAAAAAAAAAAAAAAAAATTAAAATTAAAAATAAAATTTACAAGAATAAAAAATAAACACTGAAAATACAAACGAGATAAAAATGAAAAATCTGTTTTTCCCCAGTAAAAACTGTCCAAGTAACTTAATTATTGCTGGAACAATGAATGCCATTCCACTTGGAAATAGCTCAAATAACCCATAAAGAACAAACAGGCAAAATAGCATTTCTATGAAAGTTTTGTTTAAAAAACACTAAAAACAGATATTGAAAATGCTTGAAAATAACATCAAGTTGAAAAGGTGTGGGTAACACCCCTTTTGGGTGCCGAAGGAGAGCTAGGCAGACCCCCAGCACAATTAGTGCCTGAAGAATAATTTGCTGCTCATTTATTTATTTCTATATAATCCTTTTATACATAATTGTATCTTAGTTCATAGTCGGGGGAATGCATAGAGCAGACACGGTACAGAGCATGAACTGAGGGTTAAACAGCTATACATACATAAGCATATCTTGCTTATAGTCAGAAGAATATCTAGAGCGGACACGGTGCAGAGCATGATTTAAGGGAAATATAGTTATACCAGGAAGAGAATGTATGGCCCAGGCGACAGCGTTCAGTATCATAAAGATACCCGCTGTATGGCAGGCTTGGGGCGAGAGCCACGCCTCCTGAAAGGAGTTGTAGGACCTTGCGTCCAGTTCGTGTGGAAGGCTGGCCTCAGACCGGCAATCTCGCCAGCCTCTGATGGCTTAAAACCCCTCTAGTATAATGGCACCTTGGTGGCTGTACACCCTGTTAAATCTCTAGCCACTGTGCTGACTCCAAGCATCCTCCTTTAGAATTCCTTAGAAGTAGCCTGTCCCTAGATAAGAGATATTGCACACTGCACCCTCTTCACTGCGCACGGCCCACCTCCTTGCCTCCGTGACCTAATGGGGGTGACCCTTTACTTATTGCCCACATGACTGTCTCACTGTTCTTCAGATGACCTCACTCACTCCCCTCCCCCTAACCTATACCCAATAAATACAGACGCTCCTGGACGCTCAGGGCCTCGCCTGTCTCTGCTCGCTGGTGGCGTGGCCCCCTGAGCCCACCTGCCTTTTCCTTCGGTGTCTTATCTCTACCTCTCGGGTCCTGCGCCTCAGCACAGTGATAGGGGACACCCCACAACCCTGTAGGGCTTGACCCTACAAAAAGCAACACGTTTGTTGAAATGACACACCGCGACCAGGGCCCCAGGTCCCAGCACCTCCCGAGAGCAGGTAATTACCGAGACTCACATCCCAGAGAGGTGCCGAAGCATCCACGCCGCCAACCCCGCCGTGACTTGAAATTGAAGGGATGAGTTTTTGGGCATCTCAAGAGAATACGTTTTTTCTTATAAAGGAAAGGGAGAGGAGCTACCTTCATCTTCGTCCAGTCCTCCTGGAAGGGGATCCTGTCCGTGGCATCTGTGGAGTTGAGATGCCTACTCCTGAACTGGTCGCCCACCTCCCGCAGGTGCCTGGCGAACACCATGCTGCGACGCGTCTGTGGAAATGGCCATAGGCTCGGCTGAGAACATGCCCGCCCACCTGCCAGGCAGCCCTCCTGGGACAGGTTCTTCCACTGTTGCCACTGCCCACCCTGCAGCTGCCACAGCCCCTCAGTCACATCCCTCATCAACGCTGGCTGGAGAAGCAGCGCCATCCACGGCGGAGGCTCCCAGAAGCTCTCCGGCAGGAAGCCAATGCAGGCCCAGCTGCCCACCACTGCCGGCTCTGTCAGACCCCCTTGGGAGGCTGCAGCACACGCTGGGCAGTCGGCTGTGTCCCTGGTCTCTTCCCAACTCAACTTCCATCTCACTCCATAAGCACGTCTTGCTTTTGCCAAACTGAACGGGACTGACCCGAATGACGCCCCACGTAAGCAGGGACAATGTCTCCCGAAGGCAGATCCCGGCTTTACAAGCTGCTGCCCCAGTGAACACGTCACCGGACCTGCTGTGCCCACAAGAGGGAGCAGCCGCTTCCCAACCTCTGCTCCATTCACCCACAGAACCAGGGCAGCTGTGGAAAGTCACCCGTCAACACAGAAAAGGACACCAATGGGAAAGACCCACTGCAGAAAACAGCCCCATCTTTCAGAGCTAAAGAGAGGAGCAGGGAGGGGTCTGCGTTCCAGCCACTGATGGAGTTGACGACCTGGGGGCGGACTCCAGGGCGCCAGCTCTCAGAGCTGAGAGCTGGGCGGGCCTGCAGCCACGTGACATTCGGGGTGGCACAGGGTCACCGCAGGTGCCCAAATCCACAGCTTCCATTATGATTTTAATCAGCAAGCTCCAAAAAGAGCTGTCAACTGTTTAACATTTTCAGACACTAACTGCTGGACAAGACAGTGCTTTAGAAAGACTCCCGAGCAAACACTCACATCCCAGTATTCCTTTCCGCCATAGTGGTCGTGAAGCAGGTTTTCGGCACGGTCTAACATCACGGACCTGTTTTTAAACAGAAGAATCAACGGTTATGAGAGTTAAAGATGATGACATTCACACGCTCTCAGAACACACAGTGGGAGAACCCTGGGCCGGGGAAGCGGAAACCGTCCCAGAGGGACTCCAGCCAGGGCACGTTGGGCGGCTGTGGCCGAGACACAGGGAGGGTACCGTCAGCCTCCACACCACGGTTCTGAGGGGGCTTTCATGCCCCCAGCCAACAGAAAGAATGAACATCAGAGAAAAGTATCTCCTAATTTAAGGAGCGAAGTTGAGAGTGGGCAAGAGGCTATGGCAAGCCACAGGTGCCTGATGAGGGGAAGGTGGGGAAGCTTTTATTTGGCAGAGAGGAGAGGTTCGCAGAAGCTGCTGGGAACAGAGCCGGAGCTGCAACTGATCCCTGGCGGAGCTGCCATCACTGGGCTGGCGGTCTTTCAACAGCATGTCGCCCGAATCACTGCAGCCCGAGAACGCCCAGCGGCGAACCTGGTCATAGGAACGCGTGCGTGTGTGGAGCGGCAGCTGTGAAAGCGTGAGGTGCATGAAGGGCGGCGTGACGAGCCCTGGGGTTGTCTCAGAAAGCCTCCAGCCGGCCCGTATCCGACTCGCAGGCGGGCCTCCTCCTCAGTGTCTTCCCTGCGACTGACAGTCATCCTGGTGCCCGTGACGGTCACGCTACCTAATTCCAGTGAGGCAAGGCCTCCCCTACTCCAGCCACTGAACCAACCGTCACCAAACTCCCTAGAGCTCTTGATGCAAAATAAAAATGAAACACATGAAATGGATTGTGAGCACACAGACCCGGAATATTGGGGTGGTAAAGGCTGCAATACCAAAATCCAGACACTTTTAAGGAACAGACTGATAACTATGGAAAAAACTTTAACTTCTACAGAGAAACAATCAGTGACATATCTCAGTTGGCATTTTGTAGAATAACATTTCAAAAGGCTTTTAAGTGTCGTCGCACTCTGAAATGAAAAAACACGAATGAACAGAACAGATTCCACACTTCACCATCAGATCCACACAGATGGAAGCTCAGCCCTGGTGGCTCCCTGGGAACCAGCTCTGCACTGCCACTGCGGGGGACTCTGAGGACCGCGCCGAGGGCACACCCAGTTCCTCTTCTGGGTGGCATCCTACAGTTTTACACCCCCACGGTTTGCACAAAGACTCTTCTACGGAAACCCGGAAACAACCAAAGGCCAATTTTCTTCCAACTGTGCAGACAGCGGCCAAACAGCGAGGTGATGCCCATGCGTCCGTAACAGCCCAGGTGTGGCTGGGTGGGAGAAAGGCAAACTGAAGTGTGGGGAGCGCGTGCGTGGTGACTCCACGTTTAAAAAGGAAGACGGCCGCGTGCACAGGCAGCGATGTGAGGGACTTTCTGGAGACACGGGCGTAGCTGGACACGGTGGGTGCCACCGGCCCTGCTTTCAACACGGTTTGACTGCTTTTGATGAAACGAAACCCCGCACTTGGGAAAGCACATTCCACGTGCGGGTAGACAACTACTCCAAAGCCAACCCTGCACAGCCGCGCCCGGGGAGGGGCGAAGCGCGTCACACGTGCCCCGCCCCGGCCCGGCCCAGGGGCCTCCCAGGCATCTTCCCCTGCCTCAGCCTCCTGAGTAGCTGGGACTACAGGCACGCGCCACCATGCCCAGCTAATTTTTGTATGTTTAGTAGAAATGGGGTTTCACCATGTTGACCAGGATGGTCTCAATCTCTTGACCTCGTGATCCACCCACCTCAGCCTCCCAAAGTGCTGGGATTACAGGCATGAGCCACCAACAGCAGTTCTTACTCCTGAAACGCACAGATCCTGTCTCAGACTCACCTTACCACAGGCTGCCTGTCCCTCCCTCCCTCCCTCCCTCCGTCCTGCGCTGGGTTTTGCCTACTGTGTCCTGGAGAGTCCTTGGTGGATGAACTGTGCTGCCGGGAGCTCCCTCTCTGAAGCCTGTTTTTCTAAGGGACAAAAGTTCTTTATTTTAGAGTAACTGGCTTTACCAATCTTTTCTTTTTCGGTGCATGCTTTTCACATCTTGTTTACAAAACCTTCCTGCCCGAGGGTGTTACGGCTTCACCTTCCCATTAGGTCTTTAACTCCCAGGTATCTAGAAGCGGATGACCTCAGCCCTCATCATCAGCTTCCTTTTTACCCTTAATCAGGACCATGTGCTTGGAAAACCCCCTCTGGGCTCAGCTCCATTCTAACCTGTGAATGTGAGTGAAAAACTGACTGGCAAGCCCCAAACATAGGCAGACTGGCCTCTGAAACGCAGGTATTTCACGAAATGAACCCAGTCCCCACCACATAAAGCTGCATCCCAACAGCCAAAACGATCCAGTCCAGTTCCCTCCACAAGCTCTAGGTCCTGCTTTCTGAGCAGCAGAGACCTGGGCCTGCGCTGGAGCCACCTGCCTTCACCAAGGCCCAGAGCAGCTGAGACCAGGGGGTCCCGGCCTGCTGGAGCCAGCGGCAGCTGTGACTGACCAGGGTGACACCAGGCAGTTGTGGTGTACAATGGGGTGGCAGCTGCCACGGCCTCTGGAGGTGCACGCAGGGCAGGACAACAGACAAGGCAGCCTCAGTGTGGGTGAGTGCGAGGGGCACCCATGCCCTGCTGTGCCCGGGCCTGCGGGAGACGCTCACACCATCTGCTGAGGGACTCAGAAGACCCAAGGTAGGTGACGGAGAGGGTCCCACCCTGCAAAAGGTTCTAAGAACGTGGCCAACAACAATTCCCTCCAGAGTTCACAACATCATCAGGTACCACCTGATCTGCAACCCCAGCATCCTGGGTGGACCCTCGAGGCCCGGCTCACCAGGGCCGGGGTGGACCCTTGAGGCCCAGCTCACCAGGGCCGGGTGCCACGTGGGGCAGACCCATGAAGTAGAAAACAGATGAAACAGCGAGTGTCAGGGCGGGGATGTATTAGCAAAAGCTCCCCAAGTGCTACACATGGAGAACAGTCCCATGGTGAGCCCCCCACGGCTCCCAGTCCAGCCCAGCCCCTCCCTGCGCACCTGGCCGGGCCGAGCCCTCACCTCTGTGCCCCCTCCTGGCCATCCACGTCACCCACTGCCTTTCTCAGCTTCAGCCTGGCAGTCACAGCACCTCAGACAGGGACGCTGGAGAAGAACCGCTGTGACGCCCACCTCCACCCCTTACCAGTGGAGATTTCGGTACGGTCAGAGCCAGGGCACGGAGAGGACGCCTCAACAGCTCCCCTGGGAAGCTGCATCCGCACCTATGGGCATCTAGAGCTTTGGTGCGGCTGATCTAAACCTGGGTCCCTCCTGGGCTGTTTCCTGGGACACATGAAACCACCTCCCCAACCACCACACCCTGGGCCCACACAGTCTGCTCTCTGTGAGGAAGGTGGGCAGGGGCGTGGGAGTGCAGGCAGAGAGCCCCCAGCCAGCACGCACAGAGCAGGTGCCTTGGCCTCTCTGTGAGGAAGGTGGGCAGGGGCGCGGGAGTGCAGGCAGAGAGCCCCCAGCCAGCACGCACGGAGGAGATGCCTTGGCCTCTGTGTGAGGAAGGTGGGCAGGGGCGCGGGAGTGCAGGCAGAGAGCCCCCAGCCAGCACGCACGGAGCAGGTGCCTTGGCCTCTGTGTGAGGAAGGTGGGCAGGGGCGTGGGAGTGCAGGCAGAGAGCCCCCAGCCAGCACGCACAGAGCAGGTGCCTTGGCCTCTCTGTGAGGAAGGTGGGCAGGGGCGCGGGAGTGTAGGCAGAGAGCCCCCAGCCAGCACGCACGGAGGAGATGCCTTGGCCTCTGTGTGAGGAAGGTGGGCAGGGGCGCGGGAGTGCAGGCAGAGAGCCCCCAGCCAGGACGCACGGAGCCGGTGCCTTGGCCTCTCTGTGAGGAAGGTGGGCAGGGGCGCGGGAGTGCAGGCAGAGAGCCCCCAGCCAGCACGCACGGAGCCGGTGCCTTGGCCTCTCTGTGAGGAAGGTGGGCAGGGGCGCGGGAGTGCAGGCAGAGAGCCCCCAGCCAGGACGCACGGAGCAGGTGCCTTGGCCTCTCTGTGAGGAAGGTGGGCAGGGGCGCGGGAGTGCAGGCAGAGAGCCCCCAGCCAGGACGCACGGAGCAGGTGCCTTGGCCTCTGTGTGAGGAAGGTGGGCAGGGGCGCGGGAGTGCAGGCAGAGAGCCCCCAGCCAGCACGCACGGAGCAGGTGCCTTGGCCTCTGTGTGAGGAAGGTGGGCAGGGGCGCGGGAGTGCAGGCAGAGAGCCCCCAGCCAGCACGCACGGAGCAGGTGCCTTGGCCTCTGTGTGAGGAAGGTGGGCAGGGGCGCGGGAGTGCAGGCAGAGAGCCCCCAGCCAGCACGCACGGAGCAGGGGCCTTGGCCTCTGTGTGAGGAAGGTAGGCAGGGGCGCGGGAGTGCAGGCAGAGAGCCCCCAGCCAGCACGCACGGAGCAGGTGCCTTGGCCTCTGTGTGAGGAAGGTGGGCAGGGGCGTGGGAGTGCAGGCAGAGAGCCCCCAGCCAGCACGCACGGAGCAGGTGCCTTGGCCTCTGTGTGAGGAAGGTGGGCAGGGGCGCGGGAGTGCAGGCAGAGAGCCCCCAGCCAGCACGCACGGAGCAGGTGCCTTGGCCTCTGTGTGAGGAAGGTGGGCAGGGGCGCGGGAGTGCAGGCAGAGAGCCCCCAGCCAGCACGCACGGAGCAGGTGCCTTGGCCTCTGTGTGAGGAAGGTGGGCAGGGGTGCGGGAGTGCAGGCAGAGAGCCCCCAGCCAGCACGCACGGAGCAGGTGCCTTGGCCTCTGTGAGGAAGGTGGGCAGGGGCGTGGGAGTGCAGGCAGAGAGCCCTCAGCCAGCACGCACGGAGCAGGTGCCTTGGCCTCCAGGCTGCTCTCGGAGCGGGCCACTCACCGGGCGGACGTGTTTCTCAGAAGCAGGGGTGCCACGACGGAGGCCGAGCCCTGGACGGACAGACAGGACACGTTTAGCCCCCTGGTCTCCTCATAACCCCAAAACCATCCTCTGGAAAACAAAACGCACAGCAGCTCTATTAGTTTGTTTTGCTTCCGCAAGGAAAACAAATCACACCGTGGCGCGCTTCTGATGAAACGTGGCTGCTTTGGGGAAAACACTGATCCTGACTGCGGATCGTGATGTTCTCATAACATTTTAAAAGCAACCCACGAGCCTCTCTCAGGCTGATGGACCACTGAGGCCCTCCCCAAGACAGGGGCTGGTGGGATGGCCAAGGCGAGGGAGGGAGCAGGACAGAGCTGGGGCCGGGGCAGGGTTGGGAACCAGAGGCAGCCCTGTGCGCCCTCAGGACCAGCCTGGCTGTGATTCTCACCCAAGTCAGCCACACCCTTCCAAAGCCCTCACCTGCTATGCCCTAAAGCCAGCTGCCCTGGCACTGGACACAGGGAGACTGTTAACTGACAGCTTTCCCACAGGAGGCCTGGCAGGGTCAGAACCTCTAACGGCAAGTGACACTTGGGACTCACAAGACCTCCCTTCCCATGGTGACATCCAAGTGCATTAAGATGCAGGGAAAAAGGAACAGGGTCTCAGCCAGGTGTTCATCACGGCCCACTCCAGAGACCTCATCAGGAAGGGGACCAGCACTGTCTAGATGCCAGTGGCGGGGGACACCGAGAACCCTGCAGCAGTACCCAGTGTGCAGAGAGGGCGCTGCGGCCGGGGGTGGAAGGGTGGTGTGCAGCAGGAGGAGCAGCCAAGGGTGCTGCAGCCAGGAGGAGGGGAGCACATGCGGCAAGAGGGGAGCGAGTGCGGCCGGCCAGAGGAGGGGAGTGCATGCAGCAGGCAGGGGGAGGCAGGTGGAGAAGGTGGGGGGGCTACTGCGGCAGAGAAGGGTGGGGGGAGGAGGTGGGAGACAGGCAGCAGGGCAGGAGGCGCAGGGCACATGTGGCAGGGGGAGCAGCTGCGGCAGCCACCTGTAGTACTCATGCTTGTCCTGTGAGTACAGTAGCTGATCGATGCACGGCCGCTCGTCCACCTTCTCTTCCCAGGTCCCTTCTTTCCACCCCTCTGCATAACTTTGTAGGACGTAAACCTGGTCAATGAACGGCCCACCAGACTCTGAAAGACATGAAGAGAAGGTGGACAGTGTGACAGTGATCATCAGAAGCTCACTCACAGAAACACATCAACCGCCAGCAGGTGAGTCTTACTACTGTACACCCCCCATTCCCAAAGGGACTGCAGGAGGCTGAGGCAGAGGCAGGGAGAGCACCTGCAATGAGGACACAGGATCGACAGCCAGCAACAGCAGCCGGAGGGCGGAGCTGGTCCCCGATTTCCCGGCCCTCACGCCCTGATCAGAGCTGTTCCCTGCTGGGATGGCTCCCCTTGGGAACTTGCTCTCTGGCCCTCTGTGAGGCCACCGTCTCCTACCCCCTTGGCTTCCCAAGCACTCGGATGCCCCAGGCCCAGACCTGCCCACTTCCCTGTCAGGAAACCCACTGGTCCCAAAGGGAGGTGAGAACAGCATCTCCGAGTTTCTGTTACCCAATGTTCAAGCCAAGGCTGGCTGCTAATCAGACTAAATGTGCAACCGTAGCGTTCATCTTCCAGGACTCACGAGCACATTTAGTCAGCTCAGGAAAGGACTCGCTCTGGGAAGTACAAGCTGTAGACTTCCGACTTCACATGGACGAGGATGTGAGAGGTTTCCCCCTCTGCTGCTGCGTGCCCCTAGCTCTCACAGAAAACATTTCAGAGTGACAAGATGGAGGGTGCGATGAGACCCACATCCTTGAAAAATCACGACACGGGAGCCACACTCCTTGGCAGGGAGCAAAGGTCTCTAAGCCCAGAGGGTGGCTGTCGAGTAAGACCCCAACACATGCTAAAAAACACGAGCCTGACTCAAACCCAACTCAGTCTTCAATGCCTCTCAAAGGCAGCAGAAATAAATTCCATCACTGGAATCTGTCTTCCAGACAACTCAACACACAAAGCTCTAAACACCTCATTCTAAGAAGAGCTTTAATTCCTCTCTCAAGATTAAATGAAAAGATTAAACAAGGGGGACCTTTATCTCTGGCGTTGCACTGACACACCACAACGTGTACTCCTCACGCAGTGCGTCATCCTTAACGGAAAACAACCTTTCGCACAGGGAGGCGAGTCCCGTCAGGACGACACCCGGGGCGGCCACTTTCTTAGGGTGTTAGGGCGGCTCTAACTGCATTCACCTACTCATCAGCCCAAGGTGGTTTCCAGAGGTGAGGGGGCACAACATTCATCCACCTCAGGTCTATCTCCCGAGAAACGTGGAAGCTCCTGCAGCATGGGAAAGGGACTGTGCTCCTGGGTGGAGCAGGTACTGCCACAGGCCTCAGGTAGCCCCGCTGGGCGCTGGAGGATGCTGGTGAAGCTGGATGATGGGTACCCTAGAAATGACTGCCCAGCCCCAGTTGAGCAACCTCGGCCTCCCAGCCTGCCGCCCGCCTCACCTGCGATAAACTGCTCATACTCAATGACGGGGATGTTTTTATTGAGACTCGGAAGATCAAAAAACTCAGACCAGGGAATCCGGACCTGGTGGATGTCAGGACTCTGCCAGTGATAGAGGCGGCCCCACGGGGGCAGGACGAGCACCCACTCCTCCGTCTTCAGCAGAGTCTTCAGGAGAGAGGCAATTCGAATATAGACATCCCTGCGCAGGTTGAAGCCTTCCGGGGGGTTGACGTCATACAGAAGATACCTGAGCAGGGAGGAGGAGCACCATGGGTCTTGAATGCTGAGGCAGACACGGAAAGCCGGCTGCTCAGAAGTCTCAGCGCATGGCCCGACTCCAGATCCTAACAATGGGTCCTAGCTAGTGAAGGCAGTGAGTGGCCTCTTTCTCTATGACCAATTACTTTCGGAGCCTGTGAGCCAGAGCAGACACGCTAACATCCTTTCAACCATCAGCAATAGTTCAAAACTATGGCCCGGGGACTCCCAGTGGCTAGAACCCAAGAGTCAGTACCCACGTGGTTCTCAAACTTTGCTCTGAAGACTCCTTCACTGGAAAAGGGCTGCTGGTTATCTGCACCATGTCTACGGACAGGTCCTGCCTTAAACATCAAAGCTACAAGCATTAATTCAGCTAAAAATAAGCCATCACATGTTAACAAAGTCACTTTTTTAACGAAAAAATAAGTATATTTTAAAAAATGAATTAGAACCGGGACGTCCTTAATTTTTGCAAATCTCTTTGGGTCTGGTAATAGATTCCCATACGCTTTCTGCATTCAATTCGTTGTGACATCACACATCAGGTGGCTTCTGGGAAAACCCCTCAGTGCGCTCGTGAGAGAAGTGAAAAGGCGCACACCCTGGTAGTACTATTAAAACGGCTGGGAAAGCTCAGAGTAGCATCACTGCCCTCACGAAAGACACCAAGCGCCCCAAGGCACAGGTCCCCAACGGCTACAGAAACCCTGGTCCTGGAGCTCTCCTCTGCCCCTGCTCTGCGCTGGTTTTCCACAGACCCCCATTGTCACGGCTGCCTGCAGCGCCCAGCCCTGCAAACGCAAGAGGGGCCGCGCGCACCCCTGGGTCCTGGCCCCACTCGGAGTCCGCTTGGAGATCCCACAACCACAGGGAGGCCGCAAAGCCGGTCTTGACCGAGACTTCTCTCCGGAGCGCCCGACACTGGCACTGACTCCCGGCTCTGCACACCAAGGCCCGGACCCATGTCGCTCGCAGGGGCCCGCCCAGGCTGAGCCTGAGCAACTCCCCGCTCTTTCCGGGCTCCTGAAGCTGCACCCGCCTGGCCTTGCAAACGACCCGCCCGCAGACCCGGGCCGCAGTGACAGAGCCCCGACTACAGCCAACGCGCCGGCCCGACCCTGCACCCAGCCCCCAGCCCCATCCCACCCCGCAGGCCCCTGTCCCGCCCCCATCCCACGCCCCAGGCCCCTGCCCCGTCCTCGTCCCCTCATCCCATTCCCCTGGCCCCTATCCCACCCCCATCCCATCCCAACACCCTGGCTTCTTACCCTGCCACACTCCGTGCCCCAGACCCTTAAACCCCATCCCATAGCCCTGGCCCCTGCCCCGGCTCCATCCCATCCCCCTGGCCCGGGTCACCCTCCGTCCCGTGCCCCTGCCCCAGGACCCCATCCCATCTCCTTGGCCCCAGACCCCGCCCCATCCCAGCGCATCCCCGCCCCTCCCCCGCCCCCATCCCATCCTCTGACCCTGCCCGGCCCTGGAACCCCAGCGTTGGCACCGTGAACGCGCATTTACCGTCTGCGGGACGCCGCCCCCGACAGGATGTCGGCCGCCGACTGTCCGGGCCAGAACTCCTCACCCGAGGCCGAAGCCGGCGGCCAGGACACTGCCCCCAGCAACAAGGCGACAACCCCGAATGCCGCCATGGCCGCGGGCGGCCACGCACTTCCGGCGGACGCGCTCCGCCCCGGAAACACGCTCCGCCCGTGGAACGGGTGCCCAGTAGCCACGGCAACGCCAGAGCCCACCTCCCCGCGCAAGCGTAGGCGCCGTCCCCGGCGGGCTGAGGCGGGATCCGGAACTGCGCGGGTGCGGCTTCTCCACCCTCCTGAGCGCTGGGGCCGGCAGTAGCATCGCGGTCCCGGTCCCGGTCCCGGTCCCGGTGGCGGTGGCGCGCGCTGGTGCTGTCGGGGGCGACCTGGCGCAGCCCATTCAGGGGCTCCTGAGGGTCCGCGCGCCCGGGAGGTCCCGGGGTGGGAGGCCCGTGGACACTGGGGGCCAGTGGGGAGGGGGCGCCAGACTGGGGGCCGGGAGGGCTGGACGGCGGGGGCGGGTCCGTGGAGGAGGCTGGACTGCGTGGGCCAGGACACCGGCGGTCGGTAGGCTGGGCCGGCGCCGGGTGCACGCGCCCCCTGAGTTGGGGAGGGGGTGGGAGCCGCGCATTAGAGCCTGGGTTTCTGGTCTGGGGTGCCGTGGAGCTCGCGCCTGCGGCCTCCTGGATCTCCCCAGCCCTGGAGCCCTGGGGAGGGGTCACCCGGGCTGGGGCGTGGGCCTCCAAGGAGCCCTGGAGGGACTGTGCTACTGGGGCGCGGGGCCTCGTGGGGTGAGTGGGAGACCCGCGGGGATCCGGATCCGGAGCCGCAGCCCCTGCGCCGCCCGCGCCTGGCCCCCTCTGTGAGGGTTTATTACAGGTCTGGTTTCGGGAGCCAAGGGCGTTCCCGCCGCCACCGCACACCGCAGCTTCCAGGCAGCTCCGCGCTCCAGAGGGCACCAGCACTGGCCGACTGGCCTGGGGCGCGGCGCTGGCAAGCCTGGCCTTCTGAGGGGACCCACGCTGCTCTAGTGCAGGCAGCCCCCAAAACAGTATAACGGGACGAAATCCTGGAAGGATGCCAGTTACCAAAAAAGAACATAGGAACGCTCATTATCTGTTCAATTAAATTTGAGATCAATTTGTAATCAAGTGTCCTCAATTTTCCACAGAAAATTCCAGGCCCAGAGGACCAAGCTGGTGGTTGGTACTTAGAAAAGCAATGATAGGCATGCGGATGAGGAGGGGCCGCTTAGCCCTGCCTGGTGTGTGAGGCCAGCGTTGCCCTGAAGGCAAAGTCAGCCATCACCAGACAATAGAACCAGAGACCAGTGTCTTTCGTGCATCTAGACACAGAGCATTTCAGAAAACTAGCAAAAGGAATCTGTCCGCCTGTTGCCTAAAAAAGCCAAACTTTGGAAAATACTTGAAGAGATTCATTCTGAGCCAAATGGGAGGACCAGGACCCGTGACACAGCCTCAGGAGGTCCTGAGAACTTGCACCCAAGGTGGCTGGGTTGCTCGGTTTTGTACATTTCGGGAGACATAGGCATCGGTCAGCGCATGTGAGGTGTGCATTGGTTTGGCCCAGAAACAGGACAGCTCCAAGCGGAAAGGCGTCCAGGTCACAGGGAGATTCAAAGGTTTTTCTGATTGGCAATTGGTTGAAAGAATTATGGTCTAAAGGCCTGGAATCCATAGAGAAGAGTGTCTGGGTTAAGATAAGGGGCTGTGGAGACCAGGGTTCTTAATGTGTAGATGACGCTTCATAGGTGTTCACCTTAGAGGCAACACATGGCAAATGTTTCCTATTCAGCTGGCCAGTGTGGTGAAACCCAGTCGTCTCTACTAGCAATACAAAAACAAAACAAAACGACACTGGACTCTCAGCCAGTCTCTTCAGAATCAGAAAAAGAGCTGGAAAAAGAAGGGGAGTGTCTACAAGATGTGAATTTCTCCACAGGAGACAGCTTTGCGGGGCTATTTCTAAATTTGTCAAAGAGATCTATTTTGGGTAAAATACACTGCTCCTTTCAGGGCCTGCTGTCACATGATGCTGTACCAGAGTCAGATTGGAACTTGGCGTCTTATTACTACAGAGTCTGCTCTGTCAGTCTTATGACCTGTTTTAATGCCAGTGCTGGTCAGCTGCACCTGAACTCCAAAGGGAGGTGCGTATGATGAGGCGCGTCCAACCCCCTTGCTGGAGAGGAGGGGTCCATTCAGTTGGTTGAGGAGGGTTAGAATCCTACTTTTGGTTTACACTATATGAAGCAAAAATTAAAATTGACTAACCCCTAATAGGGTTCTTTTAAAGCTGCAGGAAGAGGATATACATGCAGGTCAGAGTGGAGTCCCAGCACCCAGAAATGCCAGGTGCTGGACAAAGGCTCGGGGGGAAAAAGACCTCAGCCAGACGCAAAAGCATGAGCTTAAAAAAAAAATAAGAGATGTTGAACTTCATCAAAAAGTAAGCCTTTCTGGTCTTCGAAAGACACTTAAAGGGCAAGCCATCGATGGGGAAAATATTCAGAATAACATCTGTCAGAGGGCTTGGATCTGGAACATATAAAGATCTTTTAAAATCCAGGAATCTGACGTGAAGATGGTAGCCAGCCTGACACAAAGGAAGGAACCCGAATGGCCGATAGGAAGGGAAGTAAACATGACAATCTCAGTGGGATGCCCTTGTCACCACTGGACACCAAGTGTTGATGGGTGAGTGGAGTGGCCGGAACCCTCAGACACAGTTGATGGGAGCTGTGCCCTTTGGAAATCATTTCACAGTTTGTGCTCCATCCTGGCTGAACCCATAGCTGGAGTCATTCCGAAAGCAGTGACTAGAATATCCACCAGGGAGTGCCTCAAACCCCCTGAGATGGGCTGGGTGGCATTCCAGAGAAAGAGGCCCCGTCGCCAGGGTGATCCGTCCAGAGCACTTAGTAGGATCTTGCATAAGGAGAGCCTGCAGTGTATCCTCAGGACAGATAGGACAGATGGCTGACCCCGCCATTCCCTCCTGCCTTTACCTGAACATACCTTCTTATATACCCATGAGTCCTGGACTCGTGCAGCCCTCCCCGCAGGGGACCTGCAGCTGCTGCAGACATGCCTCTGCAGCCACGCCCAGGCCACACCTCTATACAGCACTCCCCACAGGGGACCCACAGCTGCTGCATCCACGCCTCTGCAGCCCTCTGCTGCAACACTGCAGCCACGCCCAGGCCATGCCTCTATTAACTGTCTGCTGCAGCCACGCCCAGGCCACACCTCTATGCAGCACTCCCCACAGGGGACCCACAACTGCTGCATCCACGCCTCTGCAGCCCTCTGCTGCAACATTGCAGCCACGCCTAGGCCATGCCTCTATTTAGCTGTCTGCTGCAGCCACGCCCAGGCCACACCTCTATGCAGCACTCCCCACAGGGGACCCACAGCTGCTGCATCCATGCCTCTGCAGCCCTCTGCTGCAACATTGCAGCCACGCCTAGGCCGCCACCTCCGAAGACGGGTGGTGCTGCTTTTGTGAACAGACACTTCTTTCAGATGTCCGTGATCGATGCTTAGGAGGTGAGCGCCCAAGCGGAAGCCGACCCTCTATGAAGGGGCCGCAGAACACCCGACCCAGAAATCAGTGGACCAGCCAAGGCCACCGGGGAACTGAGTGGGCACACCCCTGCCCCGGGCTCCTCGGGACAGGCCAGCCCTGACCCCACTGGCTCTATCGCAAGGACTCACGGTGGCGCTGTGCTGGACTCGGTGGCCTTAGCTGGAGCCCACAGACCCAGGTCCTACGGGTAGTTCTGTGCTCACGACCTAGAGGCCAGAGCCCACACTGTCTCCAGCAGGCCCAACTCACTTCTCCACGTCAAAGGCTTGGCCTTGCTCCAGGCCCGGGGACTATCCCCCACCCAGTGTTTCTTCCTGGGTGACAGTGGTGGAAGAGCAGGCAAGCCACATGCTGGATGCCACAGCGGGGAGACTCCAGGCTGGCACCCCTCTGCCTCTGTGAGCTCTGGCCTTTCTCCTCCCTGCCTGGGCTGCTTCCTTCAGGTTGGGGAGGCTTTTTTTGACCCCTGGATTGAGGTTCTCATCAGGAATGACCCGGAAGAGGTTTTATGGGTCTTTCAAGAAAGTCTGTGTCTGAGTCTCAGAAAGTGGCTCTGTTCCCTGCACAGCACAGTCTCTTCTGTGACCAGCAGCTCACAGAAGAGAGGGGCTCTCGGGCCCACAGGCCATTGCCCTGAGGCTGCCACGAGAGGGCAGGAGAGCCCTTCCCCAGAGCTCCATGCCAGGGGACAGGAGAATCGCAGCTCTGACAAGCTCTGCATCCATGTGTCCAGCAGGGAAAGGAGAGGCTCCAACACGTGAGAGAAGAGCAGACTGGGCGGCCCCTGCTGAAGCCTCCCATCGCCTGTGACCTCTGAGGGCAGGCCCTGGGTCCCTGCAGCCCCTGCCAAAGACTCCCGTTGCCTGCGACCCCCGAGGGCAGGCCCTGGGCCCCTGTGGCCCCTGCCGAAGCCTCTCCCGGCCCCTGTGACCCCCGAGGGCAGGCCCTGGGCCTCTGCAGCCCCTGCTGGAGCTCCTCCCCAACTACCAACCTGCTCCCAGCTCACTCAGCTCCCTGCAAAACCTCACCTGAGGGGAAGGAGGCTGTTTGGGCTCAGATGCAGCAGGTGCAGCTTGTGGTCCTGGGGCCACACCTGTGAGAGCCCATCATTCCCCCCCTGCTGGGCCCTGAGTATCTGTCCCTACAGAATTCAGAAGGGTCAGCTCTGGGCACTCCAGGCCCCAGCCCCATGAGTGAGCCCTGGGCCCAAGGTGGATGTGGGCCACAGGCCCCCAGTCAAAACACCCACAGCGGGTGGACAGGTGCACTGAATGTGGGTCCCCTCCCGAGAGACATGCAGATGGGGAGGGGCCTGTCAGATCTCAGCATGGCTGGAACTTACACCCATCACTACCTCCCAGCCTCCCTGCCCGACAGGGGTGGCCCTGGGAGCCCAGTCAGCAGTGAACAGCAGAGAAGGGCAGTTGGGGATGTCACCATTGCCCCCAAGACTCCCCTGCCATGGAGATGAGGGAGCTGTCCCTTGGCAGAGGGAGGCTGGCCAGTGGGAGTGGACAGAGAATGGACCCAGCAGCCGAGGACCCCTGAGCTCAGGACCCAAGGAGGGCTCTTCTAGGAGCAGGGACGAGAGCAAACGCCAGGGACCCCGTGCAGGCCTGCTTGTCCGTTGCAAAGCGAGTGAGCAGGTTCACATGTCAGGAGCTTCCCGACTCATGGGTTCCCTCCCTGCACAACACAGTTCCCCAGTAACCAAAGCCTGGCCTTTGTGCCTGGAAGTGCACAGGGAGGTCACAGCGCTGTGAGTCAGTGGCAGGGCAAGGAGTCTGCTTTTCCAGGGCCAGAGGCCACACTCAGAGGACTTCGTAACAGGAGCTTGGGGCCCTCGAGTCAACACTTTCCCACGGACAGCCTGGCCAGCTCCGTGGACGGAGGAGGCGTCCGAGGGTCCCAGGCCACCAAGTGACCAAGCAGCGAAGGTGCCCGGGATTTCCTAGGGGTGCGCTGATCCCAAGGCAGCCACCTGTGGTCACTGTACAGGGCACCTGCGCCTCAGGAGACCGGCAGCATGGCAGGGCCTGCCTCCCAGGAGAGACTGGCCAGTGCCTGCAGGGGCCTGGGGGGTCACAGTGAGGGCTCTGCTGGCCCACCTGCCCTGAAGCAGAACCCAAACCTTCTGCCTTGGGGAGCACCTGGGCGCCCGCCTCCTGTCCAGCCCTGGACACATCCCAGCGGCTACATGTGGGGGAGATACAGCCTGGGCTCAGGGCCAGGTACCACCCTGCGGGGATGCCAGACCTGGGGGAGACCATGCCTGCTCAGAATTCCCCCCACACCTGGGCTTCTCCATCCTGACCCCTTGGGAGGGGAGGGCCTGTCCTTCCTCAGCATTGCGTGGCGGGTGGGAGGCTGGAGGCAAGGCCTGTGGTGTGAAGCTTCCCCAGCATGGGTCTCTGGGAGAGAAAGCCCCGTGTCTCAGGGAATGAAAACAGAGATTGCGCCACTCACACGCATTCGGTGGCTCAGAAAAGCATTCACAAATGTTCTGAGCATTCGGCTTTGGGGGCAGCATTCCCTCCAAGAGGAGCTTCATAAACATCCGCTCCCCGTGGGGTCGCCTCTCCGTGGCCTGGGGCCGCTGTTGGAGGCAGGGTCTCCAGCTGCCACCAGGCAGGAAATGTGGGGGGTGAGCGGGGGTCACGGCTGGGGACCACTGGGGACTGTGAGAATCTGTCCCACAGGACTTTCTGGGATTGAAAAGCTGGCAGAGGTAAAAAGTGCGTCATGCCCTGTGCTGGACCCGGCTGCTTATTTATGTTTGGAGGGGCAGCCTCCAAGGGCTCCTCTTCTCCCTCTCCAGTGATGGCGTCAGTGGAAAAGCAGACGGGGCGGGGCGGGGTGCAGGGCTCTCCTCCCTGGAATGAAGCATATCCGGAGGTTTTCCTGATTCCCGAGCAGGCCCTGACCGCCGGGTTCACGGTGGCAAATCCATGACTGCTGAGCCTGGCCCTGAGCCTCAGCATGAACGTCGCAAAGCCCTGGCCCGGGCGGTGTCTGTTTCATCCCTCCAGAGGGAAGGCATCAAGTGCAAGTGTGAGGTTTAGAGACTAAAAGGAGAAGGGCCAGAAGTCTTGAAAACGACCTTCCCCACCTTGTTCACTCATTCCAGGAATTTGCGAGGGCCTGTGTGTCCTGCGCTTGGTGGGGCCTGGGACGCAGATGTGAAGGGCGCTGCTCTCAGGAGCAGACGGAGGCGTAGACGAATCACTACCATCCACCTCAGGTGCACAGAGGGCCCTGTGGGGAGCCGTGGGTGCAGGGAGGGGACCCCCTGCGTCATGCTGATGGAGTCGGCAGAGTCTCCAGCTTCTGCAGGAGCGGAGCCTGGGGTTCCTCTGTCCTGCGGGGGCGGAGCCTGGGGGTTCCTCTGTCCTGCGGGGGCGGAGCCTGGGGGGTTCCTCTGTCCTGTGGGGGCGGAGCCTGGAGTTCCTGTGTCCTGCGGGGGCGGAGCCTGGGGGGGTTCCTCTGTCCTGCGGGGGCGGAGCCTGGGGGGTTCCTCTGTCCTGCGGGGGCGGAGCCTGGGGTTCCTCTGTCCTGCGGGGGCGGAGCCTGGGGTTCCTCTGTCCTGCGGGGGCGGAGCCTGGGGTTCCTCTGTCCTGCGGGGGCGGAGCCTGGGGTTCCTCTGTCCTGCGGGAGCCGAGCCTGGGGTTCCTCTGTCCTGCGGGAGCCGAGCCTGGGGTTCCTCTCTGTAAATTGCTTAACCAGATCTTTTGCCCGATAGTTTTCCTGTTGGGACACCTCGGTAGTTTGAAAGCGGTTTCTTGCACCCCTTGCTGGTCTCTTAGCCTTGTAGATGGTGTTCTATTTTAAATTCTGGATATATTTAATGTGAAAAATAGTTACGAAGTGAGCGCCATGAGTCCCTGTGTACCTGTCACCCAGCCCAAGCACCAGGGGCACTGGGGGACTGGCCACACCCCCCCTTTCTTAGGACTCCTGAGTCTCTGGCGTTACTTAAAGGGTGTTTCTTGCAGCAAGACAGTTGAAACAAACTTTGATGTCTCTTCCGTCTTTCTGCGGCTGTGGCTTCTAACATTCTAATAGTGTTCTCATCAGCCGGGCTGAGAACAAAAGAGCGCAGACTGGGGCTGAAGCAACAGAACCGTCCTTCCCGCAGTTCTGGAGTGAGGAGTCTTGGCTCACGGTGTCACACGCTCGGGTTCCTGGCTAACCAGACCGCCTTCCCAAGAACCCTGCACTTGGGAACTGTGTCGCTGGGGGTCACAGGAATGCTGGGGACACGTCACCAGTCACTCCATCGCACGTTGTGAGCTCTTTAATCCACTGGAATTTTGTTTGTGGTTGTGTGAGATACGGCTCTCACATTTTCTGTTGCAAATACGTAGCCAGTTGTCAGATGATTTACTGAAAAAAGAATCTTTTCTCCACTGACCGACATGAAATGCCACCATCACCGTAAACGTCCCTGTAAATACTGGGCACTGTCTCTGTTCCTCAGTCCTGACTGGCGGACTCGCTTCTGTTTCTCTGCAGGAACTCAGGCTCACGGTGACAGCTTTACGGCAGGCTCCCTCCCCAGGCCTCTCGAAAGCATTCCTCTGCCGGTCTGCTCGGCTCTTCTCCCACGTCAAGTTTACAGGCGGTGTCAAGGCCCACGGCAGTCCCGTGGGAGTTTTAAGGGATTCATGTAGTTCACGGGACAGTTTGGAAGATTGTCATTCATGTGACTTAGAGTCCAACTTGAAAATGGATTCAGGCCGGGCGCGGTGGCTCACGCCTGTAATCCCAGCACTTTGGGAGGCCGAGGAGGGTGGATCACGAGGTCAAGAGATCGAGACCATCCTGGTCAACATGGTGAAACCCCGTCTCTACTAAAAATACAAAAAACTAGCTGGGCATGGTGGCACGTGCCTGTAATCCCAGCTACTCAGGAGGCTGAGGCAGAATTGCCTGAACCCAGGAGGCGGAGGTTGCGGTGAGCGGAGATTGCGCCATTGCACTCCAGCCTGAGTAACGAGCAGAACTCTGTCTCAAAAAAAAAAAAAGAAAGAAAATGGATTCTAGCTCTCAACTAATTTAGAACTTTGGCAAAGTGTTTTAGATTTCTTTGACGGCAGAGGCCCTCGTTTCTTGGTTTGTGGTTAAATATTTTATGAAATCCATGACGTTTTTGTGACAATGAGTGGGACACTTTCCCATGAAATGCAATTCTGTGTTGCTGTTTTAATAAACACTGTTGACTGATGTGTATGATGTTACATTTGGCCACTTGTAATTCTAATAGTTTGTCCATTCATTATTGTGAACTTTTTAGGTAAACAGTCAGATAATTACGCAAATAATTATCGTTGTATCTCTGCCTTTCTAATATTTATACTTTGTATATATTCTCGTGCTTGGCCAGGACACAGGTATAAAACCAAGCTTCTTTCTCTTGTGTCTGACTAATGAGAGCGGGTCTAATGCAGGGGTTTGCAAACTGGCGGCAGCGGGGGTGGGGCAAATCCAGCCTATGGTCTCTTTTTGTAAATAAAGTTTTATTGAAACACAATTATGCTCATTCTTTTACATATCATCTGATGCTATTTTCATGCCACAGCCGTAGTGTTAAATAGTCCAGACAGAGGCAGGATTGCCTGAATGACCTAGAATGTTCACGATCTGAGCCTTCACAGAAAGGTTTGCTGGTGTCTGCCCTAATGTATCAAATACCATGTTCGTTACGGGTTCAGGAGCTTCCGACTCTTTCTAGCTTTCTGAATATCTTGTGGTTATGTGCCTTAAACTTAGGACTAAATATTAAATTTGCCAGATGCTTGTTAAGGAGCCTATCTTTTGAGATGCTCGAGTGTCTCCCTTTTCTAGTCTCTATGTAGTCAGTTGTCCTAACAGATTCTCTGGTTAGCAGAGTTAAAGCTATTAATGCCGATTCAAAATCGGGGAACTGCTGGGCTTGGTGGCTCATGCCTGTAAGCCCAGCACTTTGGGAGGCAAAGGCGGGAGGATTCCTCAAGCCCAGGAGTTCGAGACCAGCCTGGGCAGGATGGCAAGACCCTGTCTCTACAAACACATTTTTTTAAATTAGCCAGGCATGGTGGCAGACATCTGTGGTCCCAGCTGCTCAGGAGACTGAAGTGGAGGATGGCTTGAGCCCAGGAGGTCAGAGCTGCAGTTTTTTCTTTTTTTTTCCAAGTCTTGCTCTGTCATCCAGGCTGGAGTGCAGTGGTGCAATCTTGGCTCGCTGCAACCTCCACCTCATGGGTTTAAGTGATTCTTCTGCCTCAGCCTTCGAGTAGCTGGGATTACAGGTGTGTGCTACCATGCCCGGCTCATTTTTATATTTTTAGTAAAGATGGGTTTCACTATATTGACCAGGCTGGTCTTGAATTCTGTGCTGGGATTAGAGACATGAGCCACGGTGCCCAGCCTTTCTTCCTTTTTTTTTTTTTGTGATGGACACTGTCTGGGCTGGATGACAGAGCAAGACCCTGTCTCAAAAACAAAAACAAAAAGCAAACAAATACCTGGGGGAACATCCGGAAAAGTAGGGGACATCGACAGCCTGTGAAACCACAGTCACAAACCAGGTCTCCAAACCTAAGCGTGGGTAACACATACGTGCAGCTCGCTGGGCTGAGAGTGTGTGACACGGCGCAGGCTTGTAGGCCCTGGCACGTTTCTGCGTGTGTCCTCTTCGGATGATAACATGCTCTGGGCAGGAACCTGTGGAGCAGCGTCTGCAGTGGGAGAAAGCCCGTCATACCCTCCTCTGTGGGAACCTTCCAGACAAGGTGGCCACAGAGGGGCAGATATTTCCGAAAGGGGCTTAGAATCAAACCCAGGAACAAGGACGTGGAATGCTGAGTGATTTCACAACCAAAATAGAGTTTATGTCAAATATTGAATATGAAACAACAGTTAAAGCTAGCCTGGACGGAACAGCTGCAATGCTCAGCCTGGGCAGGGGCTCAGGAGGAGGGGCTCTTGGACTGCACCAGCAGGACCCGAACCCCAGGGACTTTGGGGCTAAGAGCAGAACGTCTGGACATTAGAGGCAAGCAGGCGGGTGGAAATGAGTGCAAGCTGGGGGTCCCCTTGATACTGGCTGCCCTCCACGTCTCTGTCCAGGTCTGTCTGTGTCCTCTACACATGGCACACACTGCTCCAGGGACGGCCGCACCACAGGTGGGCAGAACATGCCTGAGGAAGCCGGCCGGGCAGAGGGTGGCCAGTGGCTGCAGGCGGCTGAGCTGGCTGGGCCTCGGCGATCGGCCACCTAGTTCTGCAGATTCAGAAGTGGGGAAAGTAGTCAGCACTTGCTGGGGCTGGGATCCAGGCCGGCAGCTGCCCAGCCCTGGGCTCCTTGCTCCACAGTGTGGGCCACACGTTTTCTGAATAGGAGACGCTCCAAGGGGAAGTGTGCACCCAGGCCCCGCAGAGGCAAGGGTCCAGGGTTTCATGTCCCGACGTCCCTGGGCCCCGCCTCTCTGCACAATGACAGTCGTCCGGGAGAGGTTTCCCACAGCTGACCTTCCCTCCAAGACCACTGCAGTCTCATGGATGGAATGTTCATCTTGTAACTGCACAGATTTCACAAACCACAACTTTCCATCTTAATCCCACGAAACCGGGAAGCCCAGACCATGAGAAAGTCAGGGAGGCGGCTTTGCACACCGGCAGGCTGTGGGGGAGGCCTGGGAACTATCCCTGCTGAGGATCTCCGCCCCGCGGAGCCGATCCCATGTGTGGTTCATCCCCTTCTGCAGCTCTTGTTCAGAGCCCCTCCACCCAGAATGTCCCCACCCCAAGCCATGCAGCAGGGCCTCTGTAGGGTCTCAGGCAGCTCCTGACTTCCCGTGAGTCACCTGCAGGAGGTAAAGACGAAAGAGCTGTCTCTAGGGTGGCTCTCACAGCCGCAGAGGGCCGCCCTACACCCTCATCTGTTCCAGAAGCCCCCTAGCGCCTGCCACCACCCACCCCCTCCTGGGGCCTCAGCTTGTCCCCTGCTGCCTCCCCCAGGCCTTGTTCCTCCCTCATCCTCCGTCCCCCCTTGGCCTCCACATCCCATTAGCTCAAGAACATCCTTCAGCCCTGCTCAGCCCGACAAAGCAGAGCAAAACCCAAAGCTGTGCAGAGACCCCCACCGTCTCCGGTTGGCCTTGCCTCCTTGAGCACCAGCCCTGCCTGGTGTCACCCACCCCGTGCCATCCCCACGGCCCCAGCGGCCCCTGAAGCTCCCTGGGTGGGGTCTGCAGCTGCCTCCCTGTCTTTGCTATGGGCAATCCTGTGACTTCATCCACCCCAAACACGCCTGTTCCTTGGCAGCCACTATTTTTTGTTTTCGGAGCAGGTGCTCTCCTCCCCACCGTTGGTCCTGTTCTCTGTGGCTCCCTCCAGGTCCCCTGCAGAGGCCTCCGTAGGGTTCACTGAGCAAGGCCTGTGGGTCCCATCCCTGTCCCTGCCCCCAACACTCAGCTTTGCAGGACGAGGACAGAGATTCACTTCGGGGAGCCCCCACCACATTGAGGCCTCACAGCTGCCCTAGGGGTGGGCGGGTCCAGCAGGGTTGGCCACAGCCCCCCATCCCCTGCTGTGAGCCATCCTGACCACTAGAAGGCCCCGGGTGACCCCAGCAGAGTCTCTCTCTGGGTGCCCACATCCAGGCCACAGTGCGCTCAGGGGCAGGTGCAAGAGTCGGGAGTCTGGTCCAGGAACTGGTATGGACTTTTCCTGGCTTCTAGAAGGTTCGGCTCTGGCCAGGGGTCAGAGGCAGAGCAAAACCCAAAGCCCCCTGAGACTCCTACCTTCTCTGGCGGGGCCTGGGGAACTCGGGGTATGGAGCATGTGACCCTTACCTCTGCGTCTTTTGAGCTGCAGTTTGGGGCAGGTGTGTACCTCCCCGCTCACCCCACCAAGAGGCTGGTCTAAGCCCCTGGCCCCACTCGTGTCCCCATCCCGGCAGCATGGACCAGCCGCAGTCCCAGCCACTCCCAGCACTTCCTGTCTCAGCTGAGGTTAACCAGGGCGGTGTGGGGGTTGGTCCTGGGGCTGGTGGTTGCTGAGAGAAATGCAAACCCAGCTCCGATGGCGGCATGGGATTGGGGTTTCCATGTCATCGTCATGAAGCCCCGAAATGCTGCCTGTGCTTAGCAATTAAAATATTTACTTGGAAATGTTCAGTTTCACACACAGCCAGGAAAGGCGGGGGTGGTGCAGAAGCCCTACTCCCCAGAGCTTTTAGGAGGGGAGGGGCTCAGCCCTCCGCCAGGACGTCTCCCCCACCTCACCCTCCCTGGGCTGTGGTTCTGGGGACGCTGCCACTGGCCTCACACCCTGGAGCGTGGACGGGCCACTCTGGCCTGTCCGAAGGGGAAAGGTTGTCAATTCCATCAGAGCTAATGGACGCAGCAGAGCCTGTCTGTGCCAAAACCAGAGTTGAGGCGCCTCCCGGCAGCCAGTGTGGGAAACCCATCAGCTTCTGTGCAGAGCGTCGGGGATGCCGGATGGCCTTTCCTTCCGTTCCTGAAGCCTTCCCCGGAATGCACTTGTGACCAGGGGACTGGCCAGCAGGCGTCCAGGAGGCAGTGGCTATCTGGGAAGGCGATGGCGCGAGTGGACTGGTAGCCAGGAGCGAAAGGCACGGCAGGACCCACCGGATGCTGCTGGAGCCCCAGGCCTCGGCGTGGCCTCTCTGAGTCCCGCCCCTGGGCGGGCGGCCTCACCAGTTCAACCTCCTGGGCCTGGGCATTTCTCCTAAGTGCCTCCCTCATGGTGGTCTTGGGAAGCTGGCATGAGAACCCAGCTGGCTGCAGTCTCCAGGGAAAGAGGCATTCGGGGTACATGGAGGTCCTGCCTTTGTACCCAGCCCTGGGGACACCCCACAATGAATGCCTCCACTGCACCGTCTCTGGTGTCCCTGAGCTTTTGCTCTGGCCCCAGAGCCGGCACTAGGGGTGGATGCAGCAGCTGGTGCACATGACAGGGGCGGCGGAGGGGCAGAGCCCACCCAAGGAACATGCCCCCTAGAAGCTACCTACACTAGCTCTGTCTGGTGTGTGCCATGGGCAAGGACATGCCGGAAGTGCAGGGGCATGTGGGAGACCCGGGTCTTGAGCCATGTCCTGGTGTGCATTGTGGGGATGTGTCCTGTGAAGATGCCACGGCCACCTCACCTCTTTCCATGTGCGGCCAGGGGTGGGCATCATCTTTGCTGTGGGTGCTCCCAGCAGAGGGAGGAGAGCGCCACCCTTGGGCCACC